GATATATAATCTTCCACAGTCCACTCCAAGCCAAACGTCAGCTCAGGTTAACAGCCTGCACAGCTGAATGGAAGCAGAGTGAGTCTGGCTGGTTACTTAAAGTCACTGAGAAGTTATTCAAACACCCAGTTATTATGGTGTAAACAAAGGCGGCTTGTCACACACTATTACAGATATGGTGTTTACAAGAATGCCACTTTAATGCAGCGCATGTTATGTATGATGATTAAGAATAGTCTTTGACAACCTGATTGGTGTAAAGTAAGTAGATTATAAGACAAACTGTTTTTGTTGTTAGTCCAGCAGCAGAGTATGCACAGAGTCTATTATTTTGCTAATAGGCCCTATATGATTGATAAACAAAGGATGCATTTGCTGTTCTATGTATTAGCACTTTTTTATGGAAGTGACAGTGAAGATAAACCTACAAAACACATTTTCTGCCTTGTATGTAAAACATATTAAACTGTGGCTTATTTCCTAGGAATGGCTCCACTATTTTTTCCCCTCACCACTCTCTTGTCCTTTATGTAAAACAGATTTGACTGAGTCTTGTCACAGTATGCGAGCACAGTCTGCTCTGTGGCTTGCGATACTCATTCCCAGTTTGCATGTTTTTTTCCCCTCCACAGAGCAATTTGTTTCATATCCGAGTTTGTATTTTTGCAAATATTGAGCACAAAAGAAAAGACTCTGGCATCTTTTTGGTTCTCAGGGGAAACAATTATAGCGGAAGTGTGGCGGTTATTATCAAGTGGTTACAGGTTTTGCAGCCATTGTGCTGTTGTGTCCTTGAGCAAGATAAACTGAGAATATCAACTGAAACCATTTTAGAAACTATTATATTGGAAGAATTAAGATTTAAGTTAGGTCAGGGATACACAGTTATCAATATGCAATTAGATTTTGCCAACATGAATTTGCCAAAATTAAAAAATTTAAATTAAAATCATCTGTACATTTAAAAAGTGGTTTGGTGTGTTACAACATGAGCCTGAAGGGCTCTTCTTTCTGTCCCTCATCGATAAAGTAACTCATTAAAAAACAAACAGACAAACAAAACCATATTTCCTGTTTGACTTTCCGACATTTTCAATCCAGCCTTTATATTAACAACATTTTCACTTTGCAGTATCAGAGACATGTTCTACCTTTGTACTAATGTGTAACAGTGGTACTCTTTTACCTTTATACCTTCCTCAATGAATTAAAAAAAAAAAAATCATGTGAAAATACTATAGATAACATCTCTGTGCATCTCTGGATGTATTCAGGATCTTCTCTGGTGGTGAGGTAATGTTGTGACTTACTAATATATTTTAAATTGCTTTTTTTTGGATTACCAGATACACAAACACACATGTCAGTATAATGAGGTAATAAGTAGAATAAAATAATGGATGGAAGTTTAGCGAAAATAAAAATAAAAAAATAAAATGCAACACATAAACATGAGCACATTACATTAGCATTAGTTCACTGTACCAACACTTTTCTTCTCCTCTATTACTATTAAGAAAGAACTTATTTAGATTTAGCAACATTAACCTATGGCTAATTTTCAACCCGTTTTTTATGGCATCAAATATTTTCAGTTCACTGATATTGGATGCATTAGGTGTACAGTGTGTAACAAACTCCCCCGGCATAGCAGAAAATCTTGCACAATTATGTAGAAAAAAGATTACAGTATACTCATTTTCAGTTAAGTCACACAAAACAATGCTGTATTAAATCTCATTCAGTACTGAATAACAGTAATTGTACAGAAATGAAACTTTTCTGTAAAAATGTATTGCATTCCAAGGAGATTGTACAGATTATGTAAAATATTCAGTGCAGGCAAGGACAAAGACTTGTGGAAATTTCAGTGTTTTAAATTATTAATTAAGCTGAATTGTGTTGGTTTTTTCAGACATGTTTTATTTAAACGGATTGCTGTGGTTCTGTGATGTGTTTACCATAGTGAAAACACATCACACAGACGGTTTAGCTAGCAACCGGCCACCATGACCAAACCCCTGTGGCAATTAATTACACCTGGCCACAGCTGATGTTGCTGAAAATGTTGACTACAGCGCCATTACTGCTACAGTGGAGTACAAGGAGTAGAAAAAGCTTCAGATCCACCTTTGAAGGCTTCCTTATATTATGTTTTAATTGCTTTATCTTATTTTATATTATAAAGCACTTTGTAACCTTTGTTCCTGAAAAGCGCTATATAAATAAACGTATTTACTTATAAGAGCTGATATCTGGTCACAGTTAAAGAAAGAGAAGAAACTGAATCCAGAAAAAATAGGTTAGGACATCCAGATTTAGACTCAGCTCAGGGAATTGTGCTTTTACAGACACAGAGGTACAGCATTTGAATACAGTTTAAAGTAAATAGAGCAAATAACCTAATTAATTTGGAAATAAACTACAGTAGTATAAAAAGAGTAAAAATACAATGGCAACCAAAAGCTATCCATATTATACAGCACAGTACTCTGATATTTTTTACATGAAGAAATAATAAAATAATTTTCTGAGGTTGTAAAACCCTGTAAAATATCTCTTTCACGCTGGATCTACCTGCCAGAAACATTTCTTATATTCTTCTTCTGCTCGTATATTTTCATTACTGATAAAAATATATGAGTACAATGATAACAATTTGAAGCATTACATTTTCAGGATATAACTTACCACTGACCCGTGCTCTACATCAACCCTAGGAAACCCAGTTATGACAAGCGACACATCAGTGCATTACTATGATGTTTCCACTTTTAAGCTCTCTTTGGTTTTGTATCTTCATCACATACATTTCAAAATGGCATTAGGAATAGTGAGAGTGACAGAAAAATTGCATTCTTTAGCTGTGGAAAACAGGACAAAGCCACTGCCACAACCACACTCCTCTTTTTTTTCAGGTAAAAACGTCTTACAAATTTGAATCTCATTACCATGTCATGAATACGTCTTTGGGAATCCATTAGGCATTTCCTTCCTAAAACTACAATAAGAATTCACATTCATCCAAAAAAGAAAAGAAAGAGTGGGGAAGGAGAATAAAGCCCCAGCAAGAACATTACTGTAAAGCTGTTTTAGCTCTTTCAGTCCACTTAAGAAGAGGCAGAAAAAAAGATGTGAGTGACTGACAGATGATAGCAATAAAAAGTAAGAACAAACTGGCCATTTTACTGCGGTGGGGCCATTTGAGAAGGGATTATTAACTTGTCAGCATTTCAAACTGAGACAAAACTTTTTCTCCTCCAAAACACATCCCCATGTCTCTGCTACTTTTATTAGAAAGTCTTTAAACCTTTTGACCCCAAAGGGCCTGTGTTATTGGCTGTTAATAGGGACACACGGGTCAGTGGGGAGACCCTAAATGCCCTATTAATCATTTGTTTAGAGCTCGAGCCTATTTTCGAAGCTCTGTGTTTAGTGTGGGTTAAAAATAGGAGGAGGCGGATTGAGACAGCCGTCCGCCACTCATCGCTCAAGCTGTCAGGACACGTGAGTCCTCGGGGACGTGGGCAGGAGACCCCTCAAGCCGTGGAAGTTCAAAGGTTGCAAGGTTTATTTTTAACCCGCTTGCTTTTTTGGTGGTTGGCACAATCATTGTTGGTTTCCTTTCTACAAGGCTTGACAAGCAAAGTAATTTCGCCCAGTGGGATTTTTTTTTAAAGGAATTACCTTGTTAAAAAAATCACGAGTTTCATGTCTAAGCTGCTACACACTAGTTTGCACATCTCATACAAACTTTGCAGTTCATGAATAATACAAATGAAAATGCTACTACATGCTTTTTTTTACTAAATGCCACAAGCAAGCGAGTTGTTTGCAGCAGACTGACAGTGATGGGAAATAAGTCACTGGATCAAATCATTAATCTTGTCAAATATTGTCATATGACAGGAGAAAATACAGGTGTGGAGATTGCATCGGCTGATAAAACATTACTTACAGCCATTTTTCCAATAAGCGATGGACCCGGTGCTGTCAATATTTGGAGGGGATGCAAGGTATGCCCTGGTGAAGGCCATTTTGCGAGGAGCAGAGAGCCTGCTGGGAAAAATACAGTGGTTCATGCTGGGTCTCCGGGAAGCTGAAAAGCCACCAGCAAAAAGCTATGAATTATTTTGAGCGCAAAATACATTTTCTTTGAAGACTGTCGGGCCATTAGGGCCCTTTTGCTCCCTTTTAAATTGTTTTTATGCTGTGAGTAATGTTAACCTTTGCTTTTGTAGTCATGAAATTCTCTCTGTACCTTTTCCCTCCTGGCACAAGACACAGATGGGCTAGAAAAGCTGGATATAAAGTATAGGAACCATTTGCTGCAAGGAAAGAAAAGGCTGGAGGAAGGAACTGAGGCTTTCACACTGATGTCTACAGGTCTCTGTTGCTCAGTACAATAGATAGTTGGCGCGTGTAAGAATAAGCCCACACAAACATGATTTTGTTTCATATTAAAGCTTTTCCAAGTTTTCCAATGTGTTTTACAGAAAAATGACAAGAAATCATTACAATATACCTATGATGATGTGACTATTTCTTTACGTACAGCTATGCTGGTGGCAAACAAATTCTGATAGTGAGTGTATGCATGTTTGTATATGAGCCAAAAGGTCAAAATAAGTGTGTTAAGTTTTATTGGATAAGGATTATAAAGGAATGGATGATTATTTTGAGTTGTAACTTTAAAATGAGCTTAGCGTGTGACACCTTAGTGTCTGGGACAGAGCCTAAATTGATTTTATAGTGAATGTCTTCTTTGCAAAGTGGCAAAACAAATATTTAGACTCCTTAGGTATCCATGCACATATTATCAGGGCCTTGTGCTCCATCCTATGCCTTATGCATCCTATGCATCCTAGGAGTGTGTAATAGATTAATACAAGACACAGTACCAACAAGAGAACTTTCTCTCTGTAAATGCATAAAATAAAAAATTAAACAAATACAATTTGAAAAAACAAAAAAACAACCCGACCTTCCATGGCCCGCACCACGTGCGCGGTTGATCCTCTTTCACCTTCCTTTGGCACTGCACCGGCGCGTAATCTCCATGGGAACGCCGTCACGCAGGAGGAAGTGAACAGGACTATCTGACAGTGAGCTCGCTTTAGCATGGCAACAAAGGTAAGCAGCTGCTGAGTTTTCCCCACGTCACCTCCCCGTGTTGCTGGCAGGAGCTGTCGCCTTGTCGGTGATGTGTGCCCGGTGCAGGGGGTGTGCGGCCCGAAGCCCTCCGCCTGTCATGACGTTTGCCCGGAGGAGGGCTCGCTAACTGCCGGTTAGCCAGCTAATAGGATGTGCTAGAGTTTAACACTGACCACACGGTAATGACATTGAGACTTTACTGGTCCCGGTTAGCTAGTTGGTGAATATTTGGCTTGCAGCATTTTTTATTATAAGCTGAATGAAGTGGTGTTTCCACAGTGATGTAAAATGCAGCAATGATGCTATCGCTTCCTTCACTCCTTTTTTTCCTTTCCTTTTTCTAACTCCACCTTGTTCCTCCCTGGCCTCTTCTCCACCTTACTTAATAAAAAGTCGGTTGTAGTCACCGGTAACCTTGGATAGCATCATGCTACAAGTTGTGGCGTTTCTGTTATAAACGCCCCACCGGGTGCAGAAGTTCCCGCAGAGCGGAGGAAACTTCTAACATGTTTTTTGACACCATCATCATCACCTACAGCTGTGTGTAACTCTTATCTGAGACGGGAGGTACTGACGTTTCTTCTAAAGGTTTCACAAACTTTTTCCAGAGGCTTTAACTAAATGTAGAAACCTATAGACAACATATATAATTCATTCCCTTTAGACAGGGGTGTCAAACATAAGGTCCAGAGGCCAGAATCAGCCCGGCAAAGACTCCAATCTGGCCCACTAGACAGCTTTGGCAAATCAGAAGAAAGGCACAGATTTTGGACTTTTATTTGTGTTTTATTAAGTTTTGCTGCTTCTCTTACTTATGAAAACTTTACCCCTGGATAATCATACTACACCACCGTACATAAGTAATAGATATAGAATTAAATGACAGAAAATTGCCTGTTTTTTTTACTGTAGATTTATTTATTTTACAATCGTCTACACTAAAAAACAGTCTGATATTTTTTTATATCACTTTTCATTTTTCTGTAATTTTACAAATTCAGTTGTTACAATTTAAGTCACGCTGACACATTTCTTTCATTTCTCACAGCAGTATTTCTTTATCCCCTAGAAAAACTAAGAAATACTGTTGAAATGAAGTATTTTTCTTATATTAAGACTTCACAGCTAAATGTGTAGTTAAACTTCTTTACACTGAGTGAAAGGGGAGTTTCACTGCTCCGGCCCACTTAAGATCAAAGTGGCCCACCATGTAAAATGAGTTTGACATCCTTGCCCTAAGAAATATTGTCTAAAACAATAAAAATAACATAAAAAGCTAATTAAGAAACCTTGACTGTACAATATGTGATCACAGGTATGTGATTAAAAGCATTCCAGTGTGTAAGAGGTGGTTGCAGACAGACAAAGCTTTGTTTACAAGCCAGTAGCCAAAAAGAAAAAAAACATTGTTCTACAATGTGGCTCACCAGGACCGGCTCAGATGATGATATAGGTTTGGTATGTCTATTCACAAAACATTCTCTCATCATTTTGCAGGCAGTTCTGCCTAGGAGGGCCGACCCCACTGAGTTGAAAGCCATTTTTGAAAAGGTGGGATTTGACTTATATGTTTTGTTCTCTTTTTTGAGTTTGCCTAGTTTCAAAGAAGGTTTTCTCCCATCTTTTGATTTGGGTTTCTTTTCTTTTTTTTAATGAATTTCTAAAGCTCAGCCTTGTGTCTTTATTTTTTATAAAAAAAATGTTCTGTTTTACAGTATGCCAGCGTCAAGAAGAATGAGAAATACTTCATGTCGGCGCAGGACTTTGTGAGCCGTTTCCTCCATGCTCACACGGACATTCTGCTGACCAATGAGGCCACAAATCTGCTGGCTGGAGTGGTGGACCAGAAGAAAGATGGGTCAGTGTACCATTTATCTTTTAGGCAATGAAAATTTCACATATGTAGGGTTTTGTAGACAATTCTAGGAGAGTAGATATTTTTGTGGATATTTTTATCTTGCTTAAGGGCTCTAAACCAGAGATTACATGATGGGCCACATACACTCTACTTTGATCTTAGAAGTCACCAGAAGTTTAACTACACATTTGACTGAGATGTTTCAATATAAGAAAAAAATGTAATTTCAATTTCATTAATAGGAGAGAGAAGCAGCAAAGCCTATTAAAATACAAATAAAAGTCCAAAATGTATGCCCTTCTTATTTGCCAAATCTATCTAGTGGGCCAGACTGGAGTCTTTGCCAGGTTGATTCTGGCTTCTGGACCTTATGTTTGACACCCTGGGTCAGCACACCTGAATCACATGATTAGTTCATTACCAGGCCTCTGGAGAACTTCAAGACATGTTGAGGAGGTAATTTATCCATTTAAATCAGCTGTGATGGATCAAGGACACATCTAAAACCTGCAGGGACACCGGCCCTCGTGGACTGGGATTGGGGACCCCTGATCTAGACTCTTTTTGGGGTAGCTAGTTTTGATGATACCAAAAATAGGAAGTCTGTTTTCTCTTGAATATATTAGAACTAAATATCACTTTGCTCGTGGTGTTCAAAGCATGGAAGAACTACTTTTATTCTGCTTAATCACAACATGTCATCGATATCACTCTGTAGAATAACAGTGGATTAATACATCTGTGTTAAGTTTATGCCATAGGTACGTCATGACCACAAACTTTTCTAAAGCCCTACATGCACAATCTTAGAAATGTAGCTACACGTCATGCTAATGCAGGCCTCAGCGACTCTGATAGGCCTGTTTGGTACCATTGATTCCTCCTGTGCATTTCCAGCTCCTCTTACTGCCATGTTTTGAACTAGCTGGAAGAGAATGGATGAAACTGAAGTGAGAAACTCCTCACGAAATAGTGTGTTGGCAACTGCGTTGACCACTTGCATAGGCTGTGTTGTAGGTGTTGCATAGATTCAACACAGAAGCCTAAATCAGACATTGGCTAGATGCACGTTTCTTTTGGTTGGTGGATCAAGACTGGAGAAAGAAAAAGCCTTATTAATATTAAGCCACCTGCTAGGAGGTAAGCTCATGATAGACTCTTATTAAAGCTATTAGTACATGGATTATGTATCCCTTTGATCTTGTGTGACTAGCCTCCTAGTGTTACTTTGCATTTTATAAACAAACCTATGACTTAATCCTTTGGTGTAAGAAATGCACAGGGGGACGTTCATACATGAATTATATAGCAATGAGACATCAAAACCACCAAGGCCCCTGTCAGGTGTTGGCTTTTTTGTAGATACACCCCTAATTTCACACTTACGCCTCCCCCCTCCCATCCCCATCACCCCTGTTTTTTACATTAATATGTATGTATTTAATGATACATAATGATGGGTAATAAAATGTTAGGGTAAGTCAAAAAAGATTTAAAAAAAAGGCCCACATTGCCATGGTAACCACCTGGGCTTCTACAAAGAGCAAAGTGCACATGGCTGTGTAGTTTCATGTTATTACATCTGCTTTAAGGTGTGTGTGTGTATGTGTGTGTGTGTGTCTGCACTTACAGAGGACAGTGAGATGTGAGTAGTGGGGGTTTTTGGAATTGGAAAAAGAGAGAGCAACGTGCATGCTCTCTCTCACACACATGCACGCACGCACGCACGCACACACATACACAGAGAGAGAGAAAAAAAATCACACATGCACTGTAATTGCCCATGCTATTCAGGAGCACTCAGTTGCATTGTGCGGCTTTGGAGCAGGATAAATGGTGGCCGTGGCATCAGGGTAAATCTATTAGGAACCCATGGCCCAGGCTTTGTATCTAAACCTCATTTTGGTTTTGTGGAAGAGAATGGAAATGATATGGGGGCAAAACAGGAAAAAGAGTCATTTTTAAAAGAAAAAAAATCTTTTTTTTTCTTCCAAATATTGTTTAGACTTAGTTTAGATGTGATTCACTTTCTTTTCGTATAGTCGCTGTACAGGCCTGTGCATTGTGATGTGTTATTTTCTTCCTGAACTTTAACAGACAAACGAGTTGATGAGGCAAAAGAGACCAGATGATTATTCTGCAGACCTCACAAACACAGAAGAAACACAATAAGTAGAGATGCGACAGCCTCGGGGCCGTCGCCTGTAGCATGAAAACAGAATTGCGTAGTTTTTTTGTTTTCTCTTTTTAAGCACTCAGCCGTGCAAAGCTCCAGAAAAGAACAAGGAGCAAGACAAAACAAGCCACTTTAGCGGCTGGATTTTCATCCAGCATGCCCGATCTCATGCAAATACACTCGCGAACAATACGTTTCGGTCGGTATATGAGGTGCAGCGTATTTGCAGCTAGTGCGCCTGCTGCTGTTTTTGCCAGGTAGGACTCCATTTCAGCAAGATGAGTGTGGGGACAATAGATTTAGCAGGGGGTCGGATGGGAGGTGGCACGCTCGCTTACTTTTGTGTTGTGCGAGAGAAATTTTTCTTACACAATGTGTGTGTGAGTGTGTATCTGAGTGGCTCAATGTTTGTGGAATGGGGGGGGGAGCAATGTAAACAGTGAAAATACATTTGTCTGTCTCCCTCTCTGTGACTGTGTAAATCAGGGGATATAGTGACAGTCCTAACAATCTGTTATGTGGAAATCACTTTTCTCCCTCTTATTCTCGCCGTCCCCGTGAGACAGATAGATAGATAGATAGATAGATAGATAGATAGATCAAGAGAGAGCGAAACAGAAACAGGGCTTTGAGGGTGGAGATGCCTCAATTTCCAGGGACCTGACATACAGGCCTAGAAGACGGTTTAAAGATTTTTCTCTTTCAGTCAACTTATTTATGTCCTCTCTTTTTCTTGTTTGACTTTTCGCACATTCCTCCTATCTGATCATCACTCTCTCTTTGCACTCACATACTACAATGCACTCTGAGCTCCCTCTATTTCATTCGCCTCTTTCCGACTCCCTACCTTTCTATCCGTTCCTTCTTCCCCCTGATATTTTGATAGAAGCATCTGTTCAAGTGTGAAAAAAAAAACACTTCCACCCATAGACTCTTGGAGGTTTGGAAAAAAAAAAGAAAAAACTTTGTTAAGGGAGCGTGCTGGGAAAATAGCAGTCTTCCAGAGGCTGCGAGCATTCTGGACTTGGACTGGTGGGTGTCCACTCCTAGAAGCCGAACACATACCGCTCACCTGCGTGTGTGTGTGTGTATGTGGGGTTTTTGGGGTGTGTCTGTGTGCAAGTGTTCTCTAGGTGGGTGGAAGGCTGTCAGTAACAGTGCCAAGATGCCACGGACAGGGGATTATTGAAGCCCCTCTAGGCCCCTCTCCCCCACTACTATCAACGAAGGAGAGCTGTCTTTCTATCAGCCGGGCCACAGCAACACCATGCATTTATGTTACTTGTAAACAGTATTTCCAAGCCTGGGTTTTTTTGTATATTTTTTGTGTATTTAAATGCCTGCTGAGAGAAGACAGAAGTAAAAGCTGGGTGATGAAGATGAGATAAACATATATATGTGGAATATAGTTGTAATGTCAGACAGGCATATCGGAGACAGTTTAAACTGCATTGAATTGGCATCATGACAAAAGTGTCATTCAGCTGTCATCCATAGAAACACATGCAAGCCTTTGTCATGTAATACATCCCATAAATATTGCTGTTTAAAGGATTTAACAAATCCCATGGAGTAAAGTAAGCAAATGAGGAGTATCACATTAGCCCCGTCTTCCGCGGTTCATCCCAGCCTGCAAACATGGATGGGGCAGCCCTGGACACATGCCATAGCAGTTGATGGTTGGTAGATGCTGTTGGTTGATTTGATTATTGAGCGGTCTCGTCAGGGTTTGAGTCTGCATAGCAAAAAATGATGCAACCCTCCCCCCCCCCTTTTTTTCCCCTCATGGTAATCATTTTGCAGCCGTCATGGCGCTTGCTAATCAACCATCATAAGCTTCATCCCCGGCTGCAGAGTTGTGTGTAAATGCTTATGAGCACGTGGAATGTTTTTCAGTGCGCTTTACGGAGATGCCCCCTGGATCTTGTCTGGACCCCTCCCCACCCCCGTGGTCCAATCCCTTTCTTGATCAACGGCCCTCTCGGTTACACTAATATCCTGATTATCCATGTCTGGGAAAACACAGACGGGATGACCAGCGTGCATGCAAATTGATGCGTGTGAAAAGAACTCCAAAAACACATAGCTGACATTTTCCCTTGTTTCCATCTCAAAACAGCGATTCTCTGTGAGTCTTTGAGGCTGTGCTTGCTTACATTCCTTTTATTAACCTGCGAGTGTGCTGTGCACGTGTCGCACAGGATCGGCGAGGTGTTGGAGAGTTTGTGAGTATTCCAGCAGTGTGAGCGGCGAGGGTATTAGCCTTGTTTTTAACAGTAGATCCCCGGACTCTGCAGTGAGCTTTTGTGCCCCCTTCCACCTACTTACCATCAGCGGGGGCCTGCTCTTAAGAACTACCTGCTTAGTTAATAAAACAATTAGCCTTGCCTTTGAAACAATGACAGCTGATTTCAGTTGCTGCTGAGGAGAAACCGTACGCTCACTTTTATCCCCTCTCCACACTTCCCTTTGTTCTTGAGCGGCTCCCTTTCCAGCACACACACAATGCCTTTCTCGAAATGTATCGATGCTATCTTTCGAAATGTATTTCTGGGTTTTTATTGAAAGCAGGTATTAATCTGTGTCTTTTGTCGCTGCCGCTTTGCCTCGTTGGGTTTTTCACGAATGTTGGAAGGGAGAAAAAGTAGTTTTGAAGACTGCATTCAAAAGACTATAAAGCTTTTATCCAAGCGCTGCTTTATGAAAGATCTCTGGGATTCATGTTTAAGAATAAGTTCCTAAAGCACTACTTTCTGTCGACGCCTCCTCCTCCAGTCTTCTATACTGCAGTCTTTTTCTGGTTATAAACCTATACTTTGTGTATATATAAATGCACACAAGCCTGAAACCTAAACTCTAAAGGCCAAACAAACACCTCTAAATTTCATCAGTAACATAATTAATTACAACAACAAGGAAAATGCAATCACTGCCCCCCCTCCTTCCTTGCCACACTCCCCCTCGGAAATTGAAATGGGTTTAATAGATGGATGCTCGGGGACTGCTCATTAACGCTGACCCTTCCTGTAATTATCAGATCCATTTGTGAAATTCATAATGGACTTAGGGCAACTATGAACCAGGGCCTATATAAAGGCTAGACTGCGTGGTCCAGTTCTCCACAGTGGGACTTTCCTGAGGGGGCTCTCAGTGGGCTCACACATAGGCAGTGTTTTTGTGTTTATTTTTTTGCTTGCTGATGGTACATGTGGACGTGTGTACCTCTATTGAGGCTTCTAGGAAAACAGTGACAAAGAGATGAAGTGCTGTAATAGGAAAACTAGACTTTCAGCTCGTCTCATAGTGTTGTGGCAAACAAAGTTCACCCTTCATTTTCTCGTTTTTCGCCATGGCTCCTGTTGGCTTTCACATAATGGCTTCATCTTATATTAAATTTATGTTGATGTCCTTAACTGGCTCCCAAGCCCCTGCACACCTGTCTGCTTGTTTAAAATGGCACACTCTGCATGTGAAACGTCCTATTTCAAGCCTTTTTTGTGTGGTGTAAAGTTGGCCCTCTCAGTGTTAGCTGCCAGCGCAGACTGGGAACACACACTGAGCTTTTAAAAATGTTTTATTTTCTTGCTGTCACACTCGATGATTTTATTACATTACATATGGAATAACAGACTAAAAGGATAAAAGGCTGCTTGAATTACGTGTTGCGCAGATTGATAGCTTGTCCAAGTGTGCTGGTTTGCCACTGTGTGGCAGTAATTATGACGGTGTCTACAGTTTAATGCTGTGTAAAAATCACTTGTTTTTTTAAATTATTTTATTTAATATTTCATTTCATTAGTGTAATTTACGCTTAAGTCTTTATTATGTATTACATGGCTAATTGAATATCAAAGACTCAATGATCACATGCGTAGCCGATGAAGTATTTATACAGGGAACCTGAAACACAACGTACCACAGTAATGAATCAGCTCAAATGGCAGCATTTAACCGTCTGTTACAGACCTACTTATCCTCTTTCCCTCTGTCCTTCTCTCTCCTAGCTTGATCTCCTTTCAGGAGTTTGTAGCATTTGAATCGGTGCTGTGTGCCCCAGACTCACTTTTCATGGTTGCCTTCCTGCTGTTTGATAAAACGGGCATTGGGATTACCACTTTTGGTAAGTAACTCTGCATCTGATTTACAAGTTAACCTTTAGCTGTAGTTAAGTTTGCACAGATGCATCTACTGTGCAAATCTGATGTAAATGCCAGACAATCAATTTCCGTACCACAGTTTTTTTTATTAAACATATTTTATTTTTACTAAACATAATTCTGATCCTGATTCTGATGCATGTAGTAGATATTGTGATAAACTTTAAAAGTGTATACTGATTCACTGCTCAAAGTAAAAAGCTCAGAAAGTTATGATCACTTCTGGTACAGACGCGTATTTTGTGCTCATTTTAAACTGTTCCTGTTATGGTATTGATATTCTTATCACACGTACCGCAGTTTCAATCATGAGAAAAGCATCGTTGTCTTTGTTATATATTGTCAGGTAAGTCATTTGCTCGACACATGTGTTCTTAGTTCAAGTAAAACAAAATCTGGAGAGACAAAAAAAGATACACTGGGAAAACCTTTTCTACTCTTTCTAATGTTGCAGTTTCCTCAGGTTGTGCGTTCGTATCATGTTGAGGATGATACCAGCTCACAAAACTAATCAGGACTTAATAGAAGTGCCGGTTTATTGAATCGTAGCAATAATGTTATTATGTAAAGTGAGACAAAGTTCAGGTCTGAACACTGAACCTCATTCGCTGACATTTACCAAAGACTTATTCAGGCACCGCGCTCCTCTTAAATGTGCCCTGAAGAAGTTTTCGTGCAGTCCTCCTTTGTTTATGTGGAGGTGCGGGGAGTGGAGGGTTGGGTGGGGGGGGGAGTCTGACCTCAACTTGTCTGTTCTGTTAGAGCTGCATCCACAAACAAAAATACTGTACGTGGTCTGGTAGCTTATCTGCAGAAATGAGGTTAGGGTCGGCGTTGGAGAGGTTTGGCGGAAACTACGGGATGCAGATGAAGATGGAGGAAGGGGTGGGTGGCTCTGTGTGTGTGTGTGTGTGTGTGTGTGTGTGTGTGTGTGTGTGTGTGTGTCTGTGTGTGTGTGTGTGTGTGTGTGTGTGTGTGTGTGTGTGTGCATGATTGGCACCATTACTGTGATGCCTGGAAGCTCGTAGGTGAAAAGGGAAGACATTTGTACTCGTTGCTCATTTCACATTTGCCTAATTGATTTAAACAAGTCTAATGCCAGCCTTCTGTAGGTGTGCGAGGTGTTGGCACATTAGGCTTGATTTGAAATGCAGTGCACACATCCCACTCGCAAACAGGGGAAGAGTAAGTGAATTTCATTTTAATTGTTGCTGTCGACAGGGTGCAAGATCATTGCGGGTGATTATATATGCACATATGTAAATTTTCATATTTAAAAGGATCAATTAGAGTGACGTTGTCTTGGTGGCAATTAAAAGGTCTGCTGTTTTTCTGCGTCTCCCAAAGGTTAATGAATATCCCAAAACTTGCGAGTTATGAGACTTGTGTACGAGTGGAAAATTGTACGAAAAACATAGCACACATCGTGCAACGCATAAACACTGGCTGCAGCGTCTGCCACTTGCATCGGGCGACCGTGTTCACCAAGAAAAGCAAATAACTGGTGGCTGAGATTATAGGCTTGTCAAAGTTGCTTTATTGTGACACACTGCAGATTTTTTTTTTTTTACTCCTGCTCTCTTTTTCACTATTCATGCCACTCATTTGATTAAACAGCCTCACCAAGCCAGGCACAGAAATAAGAACTCCTTTCTTTTATTACCTATTAAAAGCATTCATACCTGCAGCTCGTGCCGCATTAAAGCCCTGTTTGTTTTCCCCGTGTAATAAATGTCTGTAGTCCGATTTCTGTTTTTTTTTTCCAAATTTCATTTAGTTTTTCTGTCAGGCCATTTTTATTTTTTTTATTATTATTCGATAATAACCCGAGCAGTTTTGTGTTAAGTACAAGGGCGGCGCATTGCTCAGAATTTGTAGCACGTAAAAAATATAAATGCATAATTTGCTGGAAAGTTGACTTCATAAAAACTGCAACGTAACATAGCGTATAAATGCAGTTGTAGCTCCGCCAGAAAGACAAAAAAACAGAAGAAGAAGAAGAAGAAAGGTGGGGAGGGAAAAAAAGACTTAAAGAGGTCTGAGTGTTGACAGGTCTATAAAAGCTGATAATATAAACGTCACACTCGGGAGCGGCCTGTCCTTTAAAGAATTAAAGGCTGTATATTTATTGCCTCATTAAAGTGTAAAGAAACACACACATACACACACACACACACACACAAGCTGTCTTCCTTCAGAAGGTAATGCTGGGCTGAAGTAAATATTACCTTTCTTTTCTCTCCCTCTCTCTCACTCACTCACTCTCTATTTCCCTCCCTTTCTGTAAAAAAAAAGAAAAAAGGAAAAAAAATAGTTTCTTTCCTCCTTTTTCCTTTCTCCACTCCTTCAGCGCAGCCTGTTTGGTAATAAGAAACAGGTCGCTCTATTGGTTTGTTTTTGTTTCTTTAGTAAGGCTGTAATTTAGGACTCATGTTCAGTGTCTCTCCACTCCACTGGCTGCAGAGGCTTAGAGGGTTCAGGCAGAGGAACATAAGTGAGAAGAAAAGCCTTTCCTTCTCAATACAGAGCCTACACAGCTCGAACAAGTTCTGCCATGTGTCATTCACCACTGATTTAGGGGAACTTAAGTCTCAATCAGAGCAGAATTGTATTCGCGAGATTGACGTTGACATTTTGTCAGCAACAATTGCACATTTTTTATTTTATTTCTTTATTTATTTTGGAGGGGGGGGAAATGAAATAATTACTAATGTTAACCAGAAATCAGGAAACACATGCTATTTGTTAAGGCTTGACTCACACGACTTTGCAGCATTCAGATTTGAGGTCTTAATTAGAGCAAACTAAAAACCTGAACAGGAAGAAACCGTGGATGGATTTTTATTTAATGGAGGCCTCATACGACGCACGGCCATTAGCCTTAAAAGTGCGGTGCGATCTGTAATTGTTAAAGGTTCGAGGAAAAGCTGGTATGCTTTTGCTTTGCCTCGCTGGTTGCTGCATTTTGTTTAAATAGTCTCTGTTTTACAAGAAGTCAATAGGGCAGCAGAGCAAGGTTCATTTACCAAGTTTCTTTAAAAGTCGAAGGCACTTGTGCTTAAGTGCTTCCATGTTATCAAAGTTATTCTAGAGCGAGTCTCGCCTCTTGGCAGCCATACTGAAACTTGTATGGGCAGTTATTTTGTAGAAGAACTACTTTATTGTCATCTGGAACATGCAATAGTTAGCGCACATTAGGTTGAAATTTCTCTGTATTTACTTGACTTTTCTTTCAGTGGACACCAGGACATAACTGCATGTTTACACTCAGCAGTCAGATGTGAAAACTTTGCACAAACGTGCAGTTTTTGCAAATTAAACTTCTACTACCATCTTTGCTGTTTCAGACGTCTCCTGTAGTTCTCAGTTTGGGATTCTTGGAGTGCCAATTTAGGATTCCACTAGTAAAATATGAGCTGTTAGAAAATGACACATATTCACAGATGAACCCACACATTATCAACTTCTCCCTTATTTCCCAAGAGGTCATCACAGTGGATAGATCCACATATTTGTTTTGGCACAGATCTTTGGGCTCGGGGCCGGCACAAGGGGTGAATTTGTTCACCACTACTCCGTGGAGTTGCTATAGTTACAGATGGACCTAATCAACAGAATATAGTTAGAAGTAACTTTGGCCTGAGCACTTGCAGAGGTTAATTAACAATATACTAATGATGACAAATAGCATTGTTATTGTAATATCAATGGTCTGCAGGATCAACTTATTGCATCTTGTTAATGGAGGAAATAAATAATATTACAAATAATGTTTTATCTCATTTATTGTCTCCTCTGTAGAGGATGTGAAGCAGGTTTTTGGCCAGACGACCATCCACCAGCACATCCCCTTCAACTGGGACTGTGAGTTTATACGGCTGCACTTTGGCACCAAGAGGAACAAGCAGCTCAGCTATGGAGAATTCACCCAGTTCCTCCTGGTAGGTTTCATGCCGAGCTCCTGCTCTCTTTTTTTTTTTTTTTTGTGTCCCGTTTGGATCTTTAGCCATCAGAATTGTTGTCTTAAGGCCAAGAAAGATGCCAAGTGGATTTATTTTACCAAGTGGATCATCATGGCCTTGCCATATTGGTCCATTTGATTGACCTTTATTATAATTATGAATTTATTTTATTTTCAGTTGCTACAAACGGGACAGACATGACTGGGGGATAGGACAGGGAGAAAGAATGAAAGAAAGAGAGGGAGAGAAAGAAAACCAAAGGGGAGAAGAGACGGTGAGAAGGGGGGGAAGAAAGAAAAAAAAACAAAAAACAAACAAACACCTGGATCACCTGTATGGAGAAAAAAAAACAGAAGAGAAAGCAAACAACAAAGAGCAACATAATAATAAAAAAAACAGCACCATCTAAATAAACTAGCTAGCAGTAGATAACAGTAGATACTAAATAATAAACGATATTGTGCAGCACGCAAGATAGACAGCGCACAATGTGCTTTGAGGCAGCAGCCAAGAAAGGTGTAGTCCGCATCTGTGAACACCCGTGTGTACACCTGTGTGCACACCTGTGTGGATCAGCATGCTTGTATTCCAAAGGTTTCTCCATGTAACGATCTGCTAGGGAGTGTGGGGAGCCATAGCCCCGTCCCCCAGGGTATGAAGCAGGTATAGAGGAGATCCAGGCCCCAGATATCCAGAGGCCCCAGAGTACAAGGACCCGAGGAGGACCACCAAAGGGGGGGGAACCGTGCCACCCTCCTGGGAAGAGCTGAGTAGAGCCCCAAAGGAGAGGTCACCCCGCAGCTACGGAGCAGAGGCCAGAGGGGGTTGCAGTGGCGTGCCCGCGGGCTCTGCCAGCAGCCAGCTGTGCCAGAGAGGGCCGAGCTTCAGGCCCAGAGGCCTGAGGGCACTCCACCCCCCGGAAGGAGCCCGACCGGGCCACAGGCACACCAACGTCTGAGGGCATCAGCCACCGGCAGGGAGTGTGGTGAGGGGAGATAGGCCTCCGTACTTTAGAGGGCCTGAGATGTACCCAGAGAGGTTGAGTCTAAGACCCAACCTGACATATAGACACAGACGAACAGGCACACGCGGACACAGACGTGCATTCCCACCCCATATGCACAACCAAATACTCGGCACTCACCCAACGTGTAGACAGACACAAATAGACACTGCACAGACAGTCGCACTCCCCAAACATACTCTATATCCCAGGTCCAGGTCCCCCCGCCCTCAGAGGGGCAAGCCGCACCTAGACCCAGGAGATGTAACCCTTCTCTCTGGGGTAGAGGCAAGCGGACCACCTCCTTATCTGCAGTAGCAGGGAGGCCCCGCATCCCAGACCCCAGTCTGACGGCCAGCACCTCCTCCCAGCCCCCCAGCCCTGACGGCTAACAAAACCGGGGTGAGCTCCTGCTCTCTTTGTCTGCTTGGCTGATATGAAATCACATTCTTTATATTGTGTTTTCCCTTTTTTGTCTAGCTGTGTTGTTTTCATCAAAGAGTAGGCAATAAATCTTCACCAACTGATTTATGCACATGTACACTTTGTCTTATACTCCTGTCATCATGTAACTGTATTTTTTTTGTCAGTCCTTGGACACACTAACACACAGTCACATGTTTTAAGGGTTTTTTGGGGTTTTTTACTGGTTCTATCCCTCTCCAGCACAGTCCTCCACATTGTCCAGATTAGTCGTTAATGAAACACTGAGGTTATGCTTTTGGGACATTTTCTGCATTTGTTTTCCATTAGCTGACATGCACGTAGCATTACTCCATTCCGCCTATTCTGAAGCAGGTAAAGACACATTTCGGCCTCCATAAATAGTGTAGTACAGTTGGAATATTTCTAGTGTATTTGTGGCGTGTGAGCCATTTTCCAATATGATGTCTAGACTTAAATCGGGCCTAAGCAGGGGAGAGGTGGTGGAGCTGGTGGGAGAGAGGGAGGGCCTGAGCTGTGCCAAGTTTGCATCCACACTCACCATGTATCTGAATGAGCTTTTTATATTACACTTAACTTGGACCAGATGGCTTAAACACAGCGGGCAGCAGCAGATGGATATTGGGACATTGTTATAAGCGCATAGCAGTGTCTCTGCATAACTACAGTTCCACGTACGGAATCTGTCCTTGTCTCACACTGTCTCTACTGTACTGTATGTGTAAGCATCAGCACGCATGCCTCGTGTTTACTTCAGTGTTTGCGTATTTGCGTATGCTTGTTTTTGCCTGTGTGCGCGCGGGAGTGCAGCTGTGTGGCGTTGCGGCCAGTAGATGCTGTACTTTGCATTGACAGCATGCCCAGTTCTCTCCCAGTCACTCAGTCAGTGGTTTCCAGCTCCTCACAGCAGCAGGCTCGCAGCCAGCCGCACTCATTGCTCAACTATGAAATGCACGTTTCCTGCTCATGCTGTCTGCGTTTGATCATTTTTCATAGCTTTTGATAAATGCCTTAATAAACGACAGAAGAAAGTGAAGTTTGTGTTACAGCTTTTCTGCTGGTCTGCTGATACTTGTAAAAATCCACAGTACATATTTGTCATGTTGGTTTTTAATCATGTTTTTCTTTTTTATTATAACTGTGACTTAAGTATTAAGCCTCCAGCAATATTTGCTCACTGCATTATTTGTATGTTGTCAGCTACAGTTATAAATAACAGGATTTCTTGACCCAAAATTCAAATCTGTGCAATTGCATCATACTTTCAGTTTGCTGTTATGCTGTTATGTTACAACACGCTTATTAATAGAGAGAAAGTTAAATTTAATCCCAAAGTACACTGTGCAACCATAAAAGTTCTCAAAGTTGGGAACACCAACCCACACATCATGTTGTGTATTTCTCTAATTCCCTAACATCCATTCCCACCCACCCTTGTCTCCCCCCCCCCAAAAAAATGTTCTCATCCTTTATTCCCTCCACCTCTTCCTGCCATACATGCATGTGTTTATTGTGTTTTTCTGCCATTGTAACCACGCCACTGCCAGATGCTCACAAGATGGGATTATCGGGGAAAACGTTTGCGCCGCATATTTCTCACAAGGGCTCTCTCTGGCCAATTACTGTCTTGATGGAAGCCAGAGATTCTCACCAATTACATGCATTTTTCCCGTCTCACACATGGACGCCGGCCAAGGCTCGGCTCGCACTGTCAGCGTGCTGTTGTCCCTGGCAGCGGTATTGCCGATGTCCAGAGAAGTGGCACATAGTAGCTCATATTATAAATTCTGGCAAGTAAAGGGCTTGAATTACGTGAAGGGGACACCACATGTCCCACTTCTTTCCTAAGCACTCAAAAAGTGAATTGTTGGCATTACTCAGATTTTTAAAAGCCCCAATTATATGTTTGACTCGACCAAGAATCAGTGGGCAGCCCTTAACATCACTGGCACATGTTTAAATGGACCGTTGTGCTTCTTCCTCCGATAACTTTGATAACTTTACAGTTTTTGGTGCCGTTTAGAAGCTTGCTTGGGGAATGAGAGAGGAGCAATCCCACTCTGCTCATTTCTATTGTTTAACTTTTGAAAAAGGAATCCCAGCCATTAAAAACAAACAGAGGTGGGTTGTCATATGTTTTTATTCTTGTCCAAGGGCAATTAAAGCTACTAGGAATGCCTTGACAGTCTCTCCCTGGGTGTCTTAAGCCCCTAGCTTTATGTCTCCTGCCTCCCTCGCTCCCCTCCCAAATAAAAACCACGTCCCAGAAACACTCGCACAGTTACAAGTTAAGATTTTAGGAGGCCGAGACTATAAACTTCTCCATTGCCTGCACCGCAGTTGTTTGTTGCTCTGTGTGGTTGGCGTGTAGCTTTTCAGACTCGGGACTGAAGAGAAATGGGATCTAATTTTTGTCTTCTTCTTCTTTCATGTACAGATGGACACAAATGCACAGATCAGTGTTTCCTGCGATGTTAAGAGACACACAGTCATGCTTGCAAAACGAAACGCTTCTCCCGTTTGTTTTTTTTGTTTTGTTTTTGTTTTGATTGTAGATATTCAGCTCCCCTCCCCCTCCCCAAATCTTTTTCTCTTCCCAGTTTATGTCTTACCAAAGTGTTTTGACCTACTCACAACCGACCAAAGAAGTGAGTCACGACACTCAGGATGCTGACACTAAAATATCTCACCTTATTTACTTTGGAAGTGTTTACATGCGTCAATCTCTCTTCATTTCCTTGCTTTCCACTCACTTATGCACTCTCCAGAGCCCCTGCTGTGCTCATAGGTGATACTGACACATGCCTGCTACATTTACTGCTTTTTTTCTTCTTCTTCCTCCTCTTCTTCTTCTTCTTCTTTTTTTTTTTTGCAAATGTAGCTCTTTTGTTGCAATGTCTATTCTTACTCCCCTCCGGTCTCCACTCAGCTTTGTGTAAATGTCACTCTTCCCCAGTCGTTTCTCTCGGGCGCCTCGATTTTAGAGTTCGATCGGTTATGCTGTCAGCGAAATATCACTCAAAAATTCAACACAACAATAAGTCATAGTCTCATAGGTTTTTGTGTTGTGGTTATACCTTTTTTAAAGAGTTCTCTTAACAACAATAACATCTGAATCAATCAGCTGAATAACGTGCATGTTCAAGATTTAATCAGCCCCCATATGTTTTCTCCAACGTGACTTTAAAAAAATGATATTCATTTATTTAAATCTTAATTTTTACTTTCTTCCTGTACAAATATTGTTAGCCAGTCCTAATACTTTAAGAAATGTAATTCAAAAATCTTTCTTAATTAATTTTATAATATTCAAGTAAATATCAAGAAAATTAATTTGACACTTCAGTTTGATTGTTTCTTTACATATATGTAGCTCTGGAGCTGAAACATGTATTTTTATTGTTGGTTACTCAGCTGTCTTATTTTTTTCTTAGCAGTTATTATGCATAATATGAACAAAAAGCATGTGTTAGGATCTTGAACATGTTCATGTTCCATATTAGAAAACTGACCAGTTTTGGTGAGATGAGACGTAATTAACCCATACACAGTAAAGTGTTCAGCTTCGTTATTTAACAGTAAATCTATGATTTTTTTGTGTATCATTTTTAATATATTTGATAAGCAAAAATACCTTTTGTCTATGAGTAAATAAAACTCCAATTAAAACAAGCTAATAACTCATTTTAAGACACTGTTGATTTTTCTTTTGGCTCTGACTAAAACCTCTTTTTGAGCACCAAAATAACCCCGTGCATTCCCTATATATGCACTTTCCTGAGGTCTTGTAATGTGTCAGAAACCTCATGCACAAAAATACATCAGGCTCATTGTCTTTTTCTTTTTTTTTGCCTTCATATGTTTTTTGACCTGAAGGCCTTCATACACCGCAGGTGAGTCAGACGCTCACAAGCTAGCTTTATCTTGCTGTTTTTTTTGTTTTTTTTATTGGCCTGAAATCCCCGTCTTTTGCTGATAGATAGAGGAAGCATTGATGTCAGCGGTTTGTTTACAGCCTCTCTCTGTAGACTTGTGGTTGCAGGTACTGATAATGGCTGCTAATTTTCAAAGGCCTTGTGGGATCTGTCCCCACCACAGCCTGCTGTTGTCCCTCTGGACCTATTGTGCGTTTGTGTGTGTGTGCATGAAGAGAGACAAAGTGAGCAGTTGGGCGATTAGCTGTCTTGCCCCAGTGTGTGTTTGTATGTTTCTCCCTCAAGTGGATTTAATGTGGATTTAGGGAGAGTGTGAAAAGCCCAAGCGACGCCTCACAGTAGGCAAGCCCCTGTGCTGGAGGAGAGGAGACAAGGCTAAAGCCTGGCTAAACACTGGCACTGAGAGTAGTGGTGGAGGGGGTGGGGGGCAGATGGCACTGTGGGGGCCCATGAAAGCAAATGGTGTGTCATTATTCATAAGTGTTTATGTGGATTTTTAATTTATAAAGGCAACTCAAAGAGGTGTCTGACCCACATATGTGCACAATAATATCAATTTAGTGTACGCACTTGCCTCCCCTCCTTCCTCCTCACCTCTCCATTCTGCAGGAGATGCAGCTGGAACACGCGCGACAGGCTTTCATCCAGCGTGACCAAGCCCACAGCGGCTCCATCTCAGCGCTGGACTTCAGGGACATCATGGTTACCATTCGGCCGCACATGCTCACACCCTTCGTAGAGGAATGCCTCGTGGCGGTGGGTTTTTCTTTTTTTCCCTTTTTTTTGGCTCTGTGGTTTTCTCATCTATTTGTTTTACTGTCGTCCACAAGAGCCACAAAGTCAGGTTGGTTAAAAATAGCAAGTCACTGGTGTCTCTTGGAAACTATCCTCAGTCATGATATGTTAAAACAATAAAAGGTTGGATGCATCAGGTGTTCCTTAGCACCACCAATTGGAAAAATTAGGCTTTTTTTTATCCACCACGATGCATTTTTTTCTCATTCGTAGATTATTCATGTATGCATATCTTTAAATAAGTCATTCTAAATGTCGTGATAAATTCCAAATGTGCAATGATGCACACTTTGGATGCAGAAGCATGCACGGTATTGTCAGCTCATATGCACTATATGATGATTTGGTTGCTGAAGTCAGCAAGCAAGCCAAAGCAGCCTGTCATTACTGTATTCTCCATAAAAGAGGTAAAGTCAAGATTCTTTTCTTCTATCTCACCACTTATTTCTTGTGCTTTTTTTCCTTCTCTCTTTTCTCACAGCCCCACAAACCGAACACTGTGGCTTTCTCTTTTCCTCTTCTGGCCATCTCTCATTCTTCTTCCCCTTTATCTTTTTTCCCCTGCTACCTCTCATCTGTCCCTTGCTCTCTTTCTCTCTTCCTCCCTCCTTTCCTTTTTTCTTTCCTCTCTCTCAGCCGCCTCTCTATCTCTCCCTTCCCCCTTCCCTCCCTTCCCCGTGTCTCTCTCTCTCCCTCCCAACATGTCATTAAGTCTAACCTCTCTGGCAGTGTCAAAGCCAAGCAGGAGAGCTGAATGGGGAAGATAGAGATAGATGGAGACTGGAGCTTTACAGTCCATCATCTCTGCCTGTGTGCGCGCGCGTGTGTTTGTGCGCCTGTGCGGGCTCTCTGTTTGTTTTGAACTCTGAGATGTTTGTCTTTTTTTTGCCTCTTGTCTTTTCTTTCTGCGTGTTAGTGTTTTCGTTGCGCGCGTGTGCGTCTTGTGTCTGCGTCCATGTCTTGCCCCATTTCATAAACACCTTGTAGACTCTGTCATTTTCTCTGCTGTGTTTACCTCACCGACCAGACATCTTGGTGTGCTGTTAGTAAACTCTCATGCACGCGCGCTCCCACACGTACACACACACATACGCACACATGTATCACAAAACCTCATAAACACTGCAGACACATTAAAGGCAGTATCATAGCAGAGCATAGGCAGTGAGACGGCAACCTTTAATTCACTCACCAAACATGGTAATTGATTAGCGCCTCACTCTTTTTCACCAAAATACCATTCTCCTCTCTCCACTGTGGGAAGATCCATGTCTGTACACTCACAGATATGAACAGATGCAAAAGTGTCTCCCTTGTTAGAGCAGTTTCACCTAAGCCAGAGCTTCCCTCCCTTGTTGCGACCATGTTGAGCAGCAGGCGACCTCTCTGAATGCGTCTGTAAAGCAAACAGTGCCATCTAGTGAACGGAAGCTCAACATTTTCTCCTCACTTAACCCTTCAGGCCAGCACAGTCGCAGTGATCTTCTAACTCAACAGTACCCCACAGTAGTCGTACTTGAACGCATATATTTTTTTAAACATACAGCATTTAGAGCTGCTCCTCTAAGCCTCTGAGAGCCTCATTTAATAAAGATGGGATCGTGGTTCGCGTAAAAGAGGCTGTGGGCAGCCTGGAATGTCCTCTAGAGCCCGGCATCTATTTTTAATCTGTTACCTTTTTTTTTTTTCTATTTTCTTTTCTTTTACCACTTCCTCCATCTCATAAAGAAAGTTAATTAAACTCCCTTAGAGTGCGCATCATGTGATGGAAAAAGTAGCGGGTGAAACAAGTTTGCTTCTCCCTGTGGAGAAATGCTAGAGAGGAACGCGGCTAATTAGCCACCATGTTTTACGCTGTGTGTATTTTCATAACAGTAACATCCAGATGCACGGCTGTGTTGAAGTTTATTTTTCTTATTTGGTTGCTTGTTAAAGTACCCCTCTTCTTTCTTGCCCAGGTTGCAGGGGGTAGCACGTCTCATCAGGTCAGCTTCTCCTACTTCAACGGCTTCAACTCGCTGCTCAACAATATGGAGCTGATTAGAAAGATCTACAGCACTCTGGCTGGCCACCGCCGAGATGTGGAAGTCACTAAAGGTACCCGGGGAGAACTTCCCACTCCCCTCCCTGTATATATAACACATACCTATTATAACTGAGATGGCAAAAAAAGCAGATTCACATTTATGTAATACAGACCACAGTCACAAAACAAATGTAAGTATGCACCACATGCACAGTAATGCGCTTTCCAGATAGGTATGTCTATGTGCGTTGTACAGGGCTTGGAGACTTGTTTTTGTTTGGGTTACTTCCTTCCCAGTGGCATTTAAATGGGCATGCTGGATTCAACCCAGCACACGTACTGCATGCCCACAGTCCCTGATGGTGCCTGTCTTGTCTATTACATATCCTGGCAGTGATCTGAGGAACACAGGAAAAACTTCATTTCATTTGAAAAACAAAGAATAAAAGTGGGTAAAATTCTGCTCCTTGCTTTTGAGTCTGTGTTGTTTAACCCTGTAGATCCAGTGTCATTTATATGCTTAATACTAACTCCACAGTCTACATTACTGTAAAGCAAATATGCAAAGCTACAGCATAATGAAAAAAGACGCTTTTCTTTATTGAAAAAAAAAAAACATACTGTTGTATTTCTCATAACTTATTTTATATGTATCTTTCTGTCTCCATTAGTTAGTTCCTTTAAATCTCTCTCCCTTGTTTGCCCCACTTGCTGTCTCTCATTCCTTTCTTCAGTACTTGGCAGGGCTAATGGCTTTCAATGTCTTTCTCCCTTTTGCCATCTTTTTCTTTTTGACTCCCTCTTGAGCTCTAGTTGTCTTTAAGAAACCATTCTGACCTCTCTCCACATGACTCCAGGCCACTAACGGAGCCTTATGATGCTATCTGAAGCCTTATCAGGGGTGTGGACTGTACCCGACCCAGACCAAAAGCCCGTACACTCTACAAACTGTTCCCACCAAGGGTACACGAAGGCCTGGGCTTGGCTCGACCCAGGGTGGCCCGCAGCCAGCCAGGCCTTCACGGCCACCGCCTATCTACTCTCCACTCCCGAAGTCATTAAGGCCTCCTTGGGGACTGCGAATGCTCAGCTCCACACAAATAGCGCACACACATCTGCATGTATCAAGACTGTGTACATGTTGCAACACACGCTTCTCTAGCATTTCTCACATAACGCTCAAGCATTAAAATGCATTAACACAGCCAAGCATGCACACATGTGTAATAATCCTGATTGATTCCTGATGTGCAACAAGGCCACTGTTTTGCAGAGACACCATTACAGTGCTCACAAAGCTGTACGCGTATATTTGGGTGTATGCACACAGGGGACCTATATAGGAGATGCACTATTTTGGGCTAGCAGTGCACTGCCACAGAACAAGTCACGACTGTGTACCTTTAGGCCCTTTCAGACATACGCTTCTTTTCATTAATGTGATGGCATCATGTTGGCTTTTTTTAAAACCTAGCCTCTTTTTGCATGAAAGTCCAAACTTACAATCCTGCTGGTCCGGCCCGTTAACAGTTGTGTGTGATTTTTAACTTTGCACAAGAATGAGTGCATGCAGGCACATTAACACATTGGCATTCACAAGACTGAGACATCATCGTGTCTCTTCTATTTTTTTGGTCAATGCCCTATGTATTTATAATGCAGGGCTAAAAAGGTTTTTCATTAGACACCTGCTTTCTGTCTGTCTCACAGTCACATGCTACCCAAACTAATGTCATAGAAGGCTCGAAGCTGCCCGTTCGGGTAAAAATGGCTGAACAGACATTTTCTGCACACAGCAAAATGTCTGAAGTGTTCTCGCTTTGGCACAAACATCTGTCCATGAACATTACAGAGTGCCTTTAGTTTCTGTAGGAGCACACTGACCTCTTCAAAGTCAGCAAGCATAGTTTTACATCCCGAGTTTTTCTCTTGTCCACTTTGCTCTACAGTTTATTTATTAGATGTTGAAATCTTTATCTTTGCTACAATGACAGTCTTTGACAGATCGGATTAACAAGACTTCTAATTTTTTTGACTTTGGTTAGTTTGCTGTGAGTTCATTGCATTCATGTGGCATGAAACGGCAACGTGAGCCACTCATAAGCCGTTCTTATGTCACAGAGTTACATTTAAGCACAAGGCGCAGCATTAGTAACTTCATTAATTACTTATAATTAATTATACCTGACATGTAAGTCAGGATCTAGCAGCAAATCACTCTGCATACTTGATCTCTTGATGACAGAGAGTAACAGTTTATAAGCTAGTCTTTAATTATTGTCTCATCGGTTTACTAAAGTATGTTTGGATTAGAGATGGACCGATCCGATATTACGTATCGGTATCGGTCCGATACTGACCTAAATTACTGGATCGGATATCGGAGAAAAATAAAAAATGTAATCCGATCCATTAAATATCACGAAAGCACCTCACAAAACTTGCAACACGCCGTAACTCACCTCAGAACGTATGCATCACGTGATAGAGCAGCTGTGGCATGCAGGACCTGTGGTGGTCTGGATAGCATGTGGAGCTTCGCTAGCAACCTGGCATTTCATCTCGGAGAGAAGTAAAGCAAGTGTGTAAGTCCATCTCTGAATGTTTGTAAAGCATTCCCACGTTAAGCTTAACAAGCGACTGCCTCTCGCTCTCCGGCTGCTACTTCAATCGTGAAACTGCTTAAATCAGCTGATCGGCTTTTCTGTCGCGAGTCTGTCTCTTGTTTGTTTTTGGTCCACTTTGCGCCAGAAAGAGCAAACCAGCAGCTGAACAACAGCAGCACGTTTAAGCTTGATAAGCTGTTGTTAGAATTTATTTAATATTAATTTCTACACCAGGATCTTTTTCTACGTAGCTGACGGCTGGTAACTGTGCAGGGGTGGATCTAGCAAAGTTTAGCCAGGGGGGCCGATAGGGCATTAACTGGGAAAAGGGGGCACAAAGACATACTTTTCTTTCTTATTCTCATTTAAAATGTCTAGCTTTTAATAAATAATTATCTGACACCCAAAGTTTTAATTTGATGTAAAATGAATAGAAGTCAATTACTGTATATAGTGACTATTAAGTCTAATGTATACATACCCTAGTAAGCTATAGTACTTTTTACTTTGGGAAGGTACCATCTGTGCAGTCTGCAATTTTGTTGAAGAAAGATGTTGAATCTATTTAATATTTCTTGAAAAATAATTGATTTCTGTGCATTTTTTTTTCACACTGCATCAAATTAAGGTTGATTACGTCGATTAAGCATCATGAGGTGGCGCGTGAGGGGTGGTTCCCTATTTTTTATTTATTTAATTTTGTTGTTGCTGGGAGTTGGAACCCTATTAGTTAGGTTGCTTAATATTTATGCTAAGTACTCTTTAAAATACCAGAATAGGGAGGATGGTGTAGGTCTAAGTTTATTAGATTGATCAGTATTGCTGAACTATGAAATATTTTTTTTGTATACAGGTATAACAGAATAGCTTTAGTGTAGTTGTTGTTTTAAACTTGAGTATGAACTTGCAGACTTGCAAAATGCAGCAAGATATTTTAAAAAACAGTTTTGTTGATTAAAAAACACTATATCGGATTCATATCGGTATCGGCAGATATCCAAATTTATGATATCGGTATCGGTATCGGACATAAAAAAGTGGTATCGTGCCATCTCTAGTTTGGATGATGCGACTTCTGTAATTATCAGTGTAATATTAGAATATCAGTGTTAAGAAAATTCCGACCTCGGTCAGCTGGGTGTCTTACACATAACATTATGTAAGTACTTTGGCTTATTGTCATGGGAGTGTTTGAATGAAGCCGTAATAGTAAAAGGGACCTTCTGTCTAAACAGCAGAATAAATCAGTTTAACAGGCCAATGAAGCCAGCAATGTTACATGTCCTAAGCTGAGGAGAGATGTCTGGCTCTTACTAACAACAGATCTAAAACGTAAATTGTTGCGATCAGATTTTTTACCTTTTTTGTCTGCCACCAATCAGTCCAGACTGAGATGACTCAAAAAATCTTTTGCGCAGACATCCCATGTCCTCATGGTTTGAGACCTGTTTACTATTAAGCTGATTGGCATGAAATTTTATGGAAACACTCGTGGTTCAGATTTAGATAATGACTTAGGTGTTCCCCTGACTTTTCCTCAGCGCTATCATTGACATTTGCGTTTGACATTTTTGGTTTTGAGTCAAGTTCACTGTGGATCGCTGTGAGTTTTCAGTGCAAACATTCATCCCTTTAAACTTTAACCACTTTGGTGATTCCATGACTTTTATTTTTCCCTCGGTGGTAACTATCAGATGTGACCACGCTGACGTGATAAACTCAGACGGTGAGCGTGACGAACAAACCTGCTTTGTGATGCTTTGTAATTTTGAAAATGTTAGCACGCTGACGCTTCCATTAAAAAGCAGCGTCGTGCCTATTTATGGCATCCAAGATTATCTTAGCAAGGGATAGTAGGAGTTTTTCTTTAAATATCAAGCAGTAATATAAAGTTGGTAAATGCTTTTCTAGGGTTTTCACCATCTACTTCCCAGCATTGTTCTTTTTTCCCCCCCTAAATTATTTATTCTTGTGTAACTATTCTGCCTCACATGCTTGTTGGCATTACCTGCTTTTACTCATAGATGTGTGTGTATGTGATAGAGAAAGAGGGGGGGAAGAGAGAGCATGCCTCGGGGGTAAGCTGAGCCTCTGTGGGGTGAATGGCTCCAGTGTAGGACGACTTTGTCACAACCCCAGCCTGCTGCTCTTTGAATAAAGCAGGTCAAACAATGGTGACTCCTCCACTGTAAGCCTGCCTACAGTCAACCTGTTCCTTTTTCATTTAACAATAGAGCAGGTCTTAAGTTACGACATGCTAAAGCTGCCTCAAAGAGGTCTTAAAGTCATAACTCTCCATGGCCGTATTTCTTTATTTTAATTTCTTCAGCGTGCTTTGACACATTGTACTCTTAACTCACAACCAACTCGCAGAGGGAAGCTGCCGTGAGTGACAGAAGTTGAAGGAAAAATCCATCATATGGAGCCATAACATTAACGCAGCCACTGACAATAACTCGGATAACTTCAACTCCTCGTCAGGGAGACGAGGAGTTCGAGGACCCACTTTATTTTTGGTGTATGTGTTCTGTAGTGACAAGAGCAACAAAGGGATAATGCACTGCAGCAAAGTCCAGTGTTTATCGTTTAACAACACATCCTGTTGTGAGATGTGATGTCTGTGTTGCCTTGAGTCATTCAGTCCAATCTCTTAAAATATTGGTCTAACATGTGAAAGAGTCCTGGTCCGAGACTGGGAGGAGACAAAAACCTGTGAGGGTTGCACCATGAAGGGTATATCTGGTATGACAATCTGGTGAAAGAAGCTTTCATTATCTATGATATTTGTCAGCCAGAAAAATAACAAATTGCTACATTCACACTATAAACACTTTGTGACTGCTACACCACATCATTGCACTGCTAAAAGAACAAGTAGGTCGTGAGCTTATAGCTCCATGTTTCTACTGAAGATGGCGTGCAGCCAGTCACATCCCGAGCAGTGGTGTGAACACAGCATTAAGGGAGAGCTGTTGTCTTAAGAGTAGGGTGGGTGAAGAATCTCTGAACTTGCTTAAAGTAAAGATATTTAGGAGAGCGAAGTGGACAGGCAGATTGGGGTGTTGATGTAATGTTGTACACTGAAGGTGAAAGTACACTGAAGGTGAACCGTGCCTCAAAGCTCCGCTCTTTATTTACCTGTCGATTCACATCTTAAGACTCCTCTGTGATTGTGTCTTTTGAACTGTTATCTCAGATGTTTAGAATTCAGTTAAATTTTATTTCTATAGAGTCAAATTACAGCAACAGTTGCTTCAAGGTGCTTTAGACTGTAAGGTAAAGATCCCGCTAAAATATGAGAGAAACCCCAACAATCAAATAACCACCTATGTGTATACATCACTCCTCATTTAATCATTACAGGGAGTGCAGAATTATTAGGCAAGTTGTATTTTTGAGGAATAATTTTATTATTGAACAACAACCATGTTCTCAATGAACCCAAAAAACTCATTAATATCAAAGCTGAATGTTTTTGGAAGTAGTTTTTAGTTTGTTTTTAGTTTTAGCTATTTTAGGGGGATATCTGTGTGTGCAGGTGACTATTACTGTGCATAATTATTAGGCAACTTAACAAAAAAACAAATATATACCCATTTCAATTATTTATTTTCACCAGTGACACCAATATAACATCTCCACATTCACAAATATACATTTCTGACATTCAAAAACAAAACAAAAACAAATCAGCAACCAATATAGCCACCTTTCTTTGCAAGGACACTCAAAAGCCTGCCATCCATGGATTCTGTCAGTGTTTTGATCTGTTCACCATCAACATTGCGTGCAGCAGCAACCACAGCCTCCCAGACACTGTTCAGAGAGGTGTACTGTTTTCCCTCCTTGTAAATCTCACATTTGATGATGGACCACAGGTTCTCAATGGGGTTCAGATCAGGTGAACAAGGAGGCCATGTCATTAGTTTTTCTTCTTTTATACCCTTTCTTGCCAGCCACGCTGTGGAGTACTTGGACGCGTGTGATGGAGCATTGTCCTGCATGAAAATCATGTTTTTCTTGAAGGATGCAGACTTCTTCCTGTACCACTGCTTGAAGAAGGTGTCTTCCAGAAACTGGCAGTAAGACTGGGAGTTGAGCTTGACTCCATCCTCAACCTGAAAAGGCCCCACAAGCTCATCTTTGATGATACCAGCCCAAACCAGTACTCCACCTCCACCTTGCTGGCGTCTGAGTCGGACTGGAGCTCTCTGCCCTTTACCAATCCAGCCACGGGCCCATCCATCTGGCCCATCAAGACTCACTCTCATTTCATCAGTCCATAAAACCTTAGAAAAATCAGTCTTCAGATATTTCATGGCCCAGTCTTGACGTTTCAGCTTGTGTGTCTTGTTCAGTGGTGGTCATCTTTCAGTCTTTCTTACCTTGGCCATGTCTCTGAGTATTGCACACCTTGTGCTTTTGGGCACTCCAGTGATGTTGCAGCTCTGAAATATGGCCAAACTGGTGGCAAGTGGCATCTTGGCAGCTGCATGCTTGACTTTTCTCAGTTCATGGGCAGTTATTTTGCACCTTGGTTTTTCCACACGCTTCTTGCAACCCTGTTGACTATTTTGAATGAAACGCTTGATTTTTCGATGATCACGCTTCAGAAGCTTTGCAATTTTGAGACTGCTGCATCCCTCTGCAAGATATCTCACTATTTTTGACTTTTCTGAGCCTGTCAAGTCCTTCTTTTGACCCATTTTGCCAAAGGAAAGGACGTTGCCTAATAATTATGCACACCTGATATAGGGCTTTGGAGTTGACGTCATGCCGCAATGCATTGTGGGAGCGCAGCTCCATTTTCGGGGTCTACGAATCAAAACAAACACACTGTGTTGGAACGACGACGACAAGAAACATGCTTAAAAGCAGTCCAGATTGCAGATTGCGTCCAGAGGCGAAGCAGCGGTACTTGAAAAAAAATAGAGTGCATCCCAAATCTGGACCCATATGAAATACGGCAGAGGAGTAAAGACCCAGACGACTTACCGCCACTGTCCTACCCCGATATCTTCACGTATCTTGTTTGTGGAGTAAGCGCTTACACAGCGAACCAGTTTCGTAATTACAAGTCACTGGAGGCGCACATCCAATTTACAAATGGCTAGGTGCAAGATTTGGCTATTTTCAAGCCGCCAAACTCTGAGTACGTCGTCAAAGTAAGTCAGCTGGAGTGCATCGAGTGAAATAGCCATTTTCCACCTCCCACCATAATTAATGTTACACATTTATCATTGAACTGCTAAAATATCGTTATCATATTATATGCCCATAATTGTAAAGTACATGCAAATTAACACATTGATAATCGGGTAAATTATTAACGCCAATTTGTGTCCTTCCTGTCTCATTTCATTTATTGTCTTTACATCAACCAATCAAGTCACTCCATTCTATGTTTGATCGCAATTTCTATAACTTCCGAGACCACCAACGATAATATTATTCAGCTATAAAGTGTGATGTGAACATATTTAGAACTTACCGGAATGAAAATGTCTTGAGCACACCAACTGATATCTGGAGACAGAACAGAACTTGATATCAGCTCGTCTCACGGCTGCTATCCAGGCTAGACGCCTTCGTTTGGTAATATCCGATACATGAGCTCCTTCATGTTGCTTCCAGGTTGGGAAAGCATAAAAAGACAATCCAAACTTATTCCCGTGCCGGTCGTAAGATCGAACATTGCAGCCGACCACACAGCAAGTACGAACCATGGCTATGCTTTCGCTCCTTACTTAGACCCCCAAAATGGCGGATCGGGCCAAAATCCTTTCCACGCCCACCCCCGTGACATCACGCTCCAAAGCCCTATAGGGTGTTGATGTCATTAGACCACACCCCTTCTCATTACAGAGATGCACATCACCTAATATGCTTAATTGGTAGTAGGCTTTCGAGCCTATACAGCTTGGAGTAAGACAACATGCATGAAGAGCATGATGTGGACAAAAGGAGGTCTTATGATTGTTGGGGTTTTCTCTGTTTTCTTTGTATAATTGTAGGGTCTTAAGCTTACAATCTAAACTGGCTTGAGGCAATTGTAGTTGTGATTTTATGCTATATAAATAAAATTGAATTGAATTGAGCAACCACTTGGCGACAGTGGGAAGGAAAAACACCCTTTTAACAGGAAGAAACCTCCAGCGAACCTAGCTCAAAGAGGGGACGCCGTCTAGCGTGATGGCTGTGGCTCAGGAGGTGGATTAGATTGTCTACTAATCAGAAAGTTGGTGGTCTAATCCCCAACTCCCCTAGTCTGCATGTTGAAGTGTCCTTCGGCAAGTTACTGAACCCAGACTTGTCCCAAATGCATCCATCGGAGTCTGAATGTTAGAAAAAACTGCGCGTGTGTGTGTGTGTGTGTGTGTGTGTGTGTGTGTGTGTGTGTGTGTATGAATGAAGCATGAGTGACTGACTAAGAAAGCGCTGTATAAGTACAGTCCATTTAACGGCTGGAGGCAAAGTGGAGGGAGACGAGCAGCTCTCCCTCCCTGATTATTTACATTGAAACAAGCCAGTTGTGGGTTCAAGTTTGTGATTACAGTGCTTCCCTTTAGAGTTTGCCAGAAATGCACTACAAAAGTGACACAGTATATTTCCTGGCCAAGGGGACACCATCTTGGCTCTTGACTGTTACATGTGACCCGGACAGAGATAGGCAGAGGCTATGTATCAAGTTTTAAATACTTCTACATATATTTAAATATTTTATTAGTGAAAACATGATGGAAAATCTGCCTTTTCCTGCAGAGGAGTTTATCGTGGCAGCGCAAAGGTTCGGCCAGGTGACGCCCATGGAGGTCGACATCCTCTTTCAGCTGGCTGACCTGTCGGAGCCTCGTGGGTAAGATGATCATATGACAAAGAACTTCTTAATATTAAAAGAAGTTGTATAGAAAGTAAAGTAAAAGTAGAAAATGACATACTTCTTAGGTGGCTGGTGTTCAAACTGAATTATTTTAGATAGACACTACTGGCTTGTGTACTTTCTTTCATGTTTATTTCACAAGAAAGCAGAAAATATTTGGTGATTTTGAGCTGTATTAAACCAGTATAGAAGACGCAATTGAATTAATACTTTAGCCAGGTTGCCTCTGCTGAGCTAGTCAAGTACTTATGCAGTATAAGACTATTCCAAACTTGCCACCCTGAAGGGAAAATTTTGCCCCGGGGTCCATACCTCAGAGAGACGAACACTCTGTCAAATTTCTCTGCAGTGGATCAAAAGAGTCAGACCTGTATCCAGTGCCAGGGAATCTTCTTTCAGTCTGAACCTAAACCAAACTCCCATTTATTCTAAAGAAAAAAAAAAGAGGAGCAGTTTCAGTCCCTGTAATCCGTGGCACAAAACAACTGTATATGTCTCACATTCCCCCACTTCCTTTGCATCTGCCTCGCGGCCCGACCAGTACGCTCATAATTTCTAACCCCGGCCTGAGAAACCACCTGATTATTATTTCTGGGCAATGGGATACTTTAATAGCCCAGTAGCTCCACTCCCCTTGATTGGAGATGTGAGAGATAATAGTCCCAATATACAGACGAGATGGGGAGGGGGGGGATTTGGCGTTCCCAGTTCCCTGAGCCTGGGAATTCTGTGACCGTCAAAGAGATGCAATAGAGAGACATGAAAAGATTAAATATCTTTGTTATACTTGGATGAAGTGATAAAGGAAGCATGAGTCATCACTTTCTATTGGTCGGTTATCCAGCGCTGTCATGCCAAGCACAGGTCTGGATTTGTGAATGCCACAATATTTTCATCTGAAACGATGTTGTCTTTAAACTCTGAGTAACTTCAGACCGATGGGTTTCCTTGAGCTCGGTGATACATGGGTGGATTGTTATAATCCTCTGAGAGTTACTTGAACCTTCTCACTCTCTGTCTCTTTCTCTGTCTCCACCAGACGTGTTGGTTTAGCGGACATTGAGAAGATTGCTCCGCTGGAGGAAGGCGCCCTGCCCTACAACTTGGCTGAAGTCCAGAGACAGGTAGAGAATATGAAGACTTGTTGATGTGTTTGGTTTCCTCTTCCACACTGGCAGCTCCTTTCCCTTTTGATACATTCTCTTAGGCTAAATGTGACTGCAAAGATAAAGAAGATTTACAATTTTAGGTTAATGATAGCTCCTGCATGTAAATAATCCACCAAAACAAGCATAGAAGTGAAATGCAGGAGTAACAGATCCAACTAAGTTTAGTCAGGTATAAAAATGGAAAGTTGGCCAGTACTCATCAGTCCTACTCCCTTTCAGTTGTTCCCACCAAGTTTTAAGTAATTTCCCATCATTGAATTGAACCTTAAAAGACTTTCTTCAGAGAAAACACTGCTTTGCCTCTCCCTGGCGTGCGGTTGACATCTTGAAAAACAAACGCACAAAAATCAAGAAATCCATGGAAACAAAGACAAGCAGAGCCATCCTCAAGAGCTAATGAATGTCAAACATACTTCATGTTGACTATAGTAGCTGGATAATAAGAGCAATTTGTAACAAAGAAAATCAAGAAGGACGTACAGATGGATGAGCAGAAGACAGTTTTCTTTCTCCAGCTGTTTGGTCAGGGCTGTGTTGCCTGGTGGGTTCCAGCACTACAGTAGAGGCTTGGCCAGGCCATACTGGAGCAGGCTTGGGCCAAAGGGGAGAAAGCAAAGGGGCCCAGCACTGCACAGACGCCAGTCCCACCACAATGAGCCACTTTAGGCCCTTGTGGTTTGGACTCAGGGGCTGGCCCTCAGTTTACTGGAGCGCTCTCTCCTCATCTTTGCTACTTCTTTCCCCATTTCTTTTTTTTTCTTCTTTAAATCTACTCCCTCCCTCTCTCTCATACATGTTTGAGTTGTTCTCTCTTTATATCCTGTTAACTTGTTTCCTCTTTCTCCATTAAACATGCTGACAGTATTGAAACGTTTAATCATTTATCATGAAGTAGAAGAGCAGGATATGTGAAGGGAGCATGGGTACAGTTTGACAGGTGGACGTGTTCCAGCTGAGACTCCCCCACCTCTTCCATTCTCACTGCGCATGCGCACACACACACACACACACACACACACGCACAAACGCAAAGCTACAACCCTACAAAAGCAGCCACCCCCCAAACAGGGTCTAGTGGTCAGGGCTCAGGAGACCAGCCAAAGCAACAGGTGCCTCAGGTGAATGGGGGAGTGTGGCTGTTACCATTCCTCTGTTCTTTGCATGGTGAAGTGATAATGATCACAAAGGTCTTTTTCAGGTGGCACTGAATACACCTTTGTGATTCAAGTTAATCTAAGGGAGTAACAGACTTGTTAAGATATGTTAAGAGATCATATGTTGATCTGATGATCATACCTTTTTATGTATACTCATATATGCATACTGTTTGGGGGGGGGTTGTTATTTTTTGAGTCAAGGTAGACTTTGGAAGACATTTGGATGGGATATGTAATATACAGTGTTCCCTCGTTTATCACAGGTGTTACGTTCTAAAAATAACCCGCAATAGGTGAAATCCGCAAAGTAGCAAACTGTATTTTTTACAATTATTATAGATGTTTTAAGGCTATTAAACCCCTCACTACACACTTTATACACTTTTCTCAGACAGGCATCAACATTTTCACAAGTTTCTCTTATGTATGATAGAATGAAACCAAAGATCATACCCTGTTTTCAGGTCCAGAAGATGGGAATAGAGCAGCAATGTGTGTTTTTATTTCCAGGTATGGTTTTAGTGCATTGGGATCATTATCATGCTGAAAAATGAAGCCGTGCTAATTTGGGTTGCCACTGATTTTCAGTCCAGTTCTTGTGTAATTCGGCATATTTAAATTTTAAAAAAGGAAAGAAAATATATGTTGTTACAAGCTGCTAAAGATACAATTTAAAATTGGTTCTTTGCTAAGTTATCTGTTATGTGTGGACACAGCACCGGCTCATGCTCACAGATAGGTGCCTTTTTTGTATTTGATTGATCCATAGGTCAGAGTTTAGCGGCTTAACAAACACAAAAGATTCCTCTGAAAAATGTCAGGTACAAGGCCTGGACTGAAAATGAGTGAAAAAGCAACAATTGTCCAAAGAAAAACTTTTGAGAGCCCGGAGAACTATAGCTAAAAGAACTTTAAAAATTACAAGAAAGTCCCAATGGAAACAAAATGGAACAAAATCAAGGGTGACTTTTCCTCAAGACTTTTGCGCAGCATGACATCAGTTCAACAAATTATGCTTGGCAAGTAATTTTTTTGATAATCATGCTTGTAATTTTATTTGTTTAAAGCTAAACATCCTCCAGTTAAAGTTTGACAAGTTTTTCACCTTTATCATAATCTAAACAATTAATATCAGAAAAATACAAAAACATTATTAGGATGAGACTTAATATCTTTGATTAGAATTAATGACGTTCTGCTCATCCATTTCTATTTCTCCTGAGCATTATTTTATTAAATGAATGTTGTACTGTATACAAATGTAACTGTGCTAGACTGTCAGACGGATTTACTAGCGTTGGATTCTGGGTGGAAATAGGTGCGTGGCATACAGGGTTTTACAAGAATCAGGATTAAAGTGTGCTGTCCTGTCAGGTGTATGTACTGCAAGCTCTCATCTTCAGCTCCTGTCTCACGTCCTTACTAACGTCTTAATTGTCTCTTCTCCTGCGCACGGGCAGCACTCGGGCAGCGACGGCTCCCGCCCCATCCTTATCCAGGTGACAGAGTCGATCTACAGATTCGCTCTTGGCTCAGTAGCAGGGGGTAAGAGTCACGCCCCATTGGCTCCCTACATACCTTCACCCCACCACCCACCCATCCATCCACCTACCTGCTTGCCTGCCTACCTACCACCCCCCGCCCTGTGCTGTCCTCATAAGAAAAGGGTGAGAGAGAATGGACAATGGCCCCTCTATTGCCCTTTCCTTACAAGAGCAACAGTCACTCTCCTGCTTAAAGAGAAGTGTTCCCTCTCTTCCTTGTTCTCGCTCAGTCTCTGTCTCCTACACTCGCTCAGTCTAGCTCTGTCCTGTCTCATGCCTCTCTGGGTGCCATGGGAAAACCCTCTTGTGCGTTCTTTTGTACCTTTGTGAGTGATGAGAAGACAGACGTGACGGTGGGGGTGAAGGGTGGTGCCCAGGTCTTGTGTTTGGCTCCAGACACCCCACTGTTTTTCCTCCTCCCTTCCTTCATTCCTCCCTTCTCCTCCTCCTCCTTTCCCAAGGGAGACAGCTTAATAAGGAGGTATGGGTCCATCATCCCTTCTTCTTCTTTCTCGGTCTCTCTCTAATTAAGCCTGTCGCCTTGGGTCGGTTCTTTTTGTTTGTGTCCGCGTGACAGGCTGAAGACACTACAACTCACAACACATCTTTATTAACATTATTCCCAAAGACTTCCCCTTCCTCCTCCTCCTCCTCCGTCTCTGCTCTTAAAGGGTCATTTCACACAAATTACCAAAACATTTTTTCCACCTTTCTATAGTGGGATCTGACAGTGCAGGTAGTTTTTGTTTTGTTCTTTTAATCCCCCCCCCCCAATAATAAAAATGAGCAGAGTCGGTACTGAAAAAGATTTTTGTCGGCTTTATTAAATTGCTAAGTGAAATATAACGTTTGATAGTGAGATTTTGATTACTGATATAAGCCACAACTTCTTTATAAGATCACCTGTTCCACTCTTTTGTGCACAACTTTCAGTTATGACCTGACATTTATTTAAACACTATCATTAAGATTAAAACATGATATTTGTTAAGTCAAGCAAGTATTTTCTAGTCTGTTTTACAGCGAGCCTTTTATGAATTCATTTATGAACTTCCCTCCAGTCTTCCAAGCTCACTGGTGATTGAGACAATTTTGCTTAAAAAAATTTGTATGCACCACTTAATCTTTTTGTATACATGTATGAGGCTCTGCGTGTTCTTTACTGAGATTATTTTAGAGACTATGCTGTTAAAACAGATCACAGGTCTTTCTACTTAATAATTACTGTAGTCTCAATGAAAGCCACTATATTTTTGTACTTGGAAACAAACTAGTCTGTGTCTGTAGTTACACTTTGTACAAGTTATTCCTCATGAGTTATATAAACATATGTTAGCCTATGTGTGTAGCACTTTATCAGTGTTTCCTTTTGATGTTGTGAAACACAGGAAAGGGTTACAGATGCTGGTTAAGGTAAGTAAAGTGGGGAAAAATATTGTATTGCAACTCTTGAGACTATTACCAATATACTAGAACCAAAAATTAAAAACATATATATTAAAAGATGCAGGTGGTCTACACAGTGCTGCAAATGCACTCACCGGCTACATCATTTGGGTACACCTAGCAAGTACTGCGTTGTCCCCCTTTTTGCTTTCAAAACTGCCTTAATTCTTCATGGCACAGATTCAGCAAGCTGCTGCAAACATTCCTCAGAGATTTTGACATGACAGCATCACACAGTTGCTGTTCATGATGTGGATCTTCTGTTCCCCTCACATCGTAAAAGTGCCCTATTGGATTGAGGTGGATGGGGAGGCCGTGCTCAACTGGTACTAAAGGGGCCCAAAGTGTGCCAAGAAAATGTCCCCCAGACTATTAAACCACCACCAGCACCCTGAAATATTACAACACGTCAGGATTGATCCATGGTGTCATGTTGTTTACAGCAAATTCTAAATCCAACATCTAAATGCTACAGCAGAAATCGAGACTTATTGGAGCCGGCAACACTTTTCCAATCTTCTATTGTCCAACTTTGATGAGCCTGTGTGAATTCCTCTCCTTTGCTCACAGAATCGATACCTGGTGTGGTCTTCTGCTCCTGCAGTCCATCTGCTTCAAGGCTGGACATGTTGTGCATTCAGAGATGCTCTTCTGCATACCTTGTTTGTTACTGTTACCTATCAGCAGTCTCGCCATTCTCCTATTACCTCTGGTATCAACAAGGCATTTTAGTTCATAGAACTGCCACTCACTAGAGATTTTCTCATTTTCTGACCATTCTCTGTAAATACTAGAGATCCACTTTAACAATTCCAATTTGTGAAACACTCTGACCAGCACGTCCGGCATCAACACCCATGCTACACTCAAAGTCAGTTAAATCACCTTCCTTCCCCATTCACCAAGTCTGTGTACAGGATTAAATTCTTCTCATGTTTGCATTAATGTATTAACATTCGAACAGGTGTACCTAATGAAGTGGTCGGTGAGTGTAAATACATAATTCCTTATTGTCTTGGAATATGTGCCATGGAATAATAGGTATTGTGGATGATCGTGATAGCATGTTATTGTGAGTCACTCAGTTTTCCATGGGGAGAGAAACAGTAGTGGTCATAAGACCTACTGTAAATAAAAAATCTGTTTCATAAAAACACTCAGCATCTAAATAAACGTGTCTCGCTCTCTGCAGCTGTGGGTGCAACAGCAGTGTACCCCATTGATCTGGTGAAGACACGCATGCAGAACCAGAGGAGCAGCGGGTCACTGGTGGGAGAGCTCATGTACAAGAACAGCTTCGACTGCTTCAAGAAGGTGGTGCGCTACGAGGGCTTCTTCGGACTTTACCGAGGTCAGCATACATGTAGAGAACACGCGAACCTCCAGTGTTATTTATTCATACTCGACATATACACAAACAAAGACACGAACTTAATATTGAACCAAAGTTACAGAAATCCTGAGAGTTTGAAACTAAATGTTGAGAAGGTTTCTGACAGAAGCTGTGGGGGTGAGTCAGATGTTAAAGGCTACAGACTATAAAAGATGGCATGACACAGTGGTTATTGGACTCGACATTTTGAAGCCTCAAAGTTAGCATTTTGACCCCCGTTTTTCTTTTAGAGCCAGAAGTTAGCATATTTGGATGATTTCTTTGATGACAATAAACATCCATGAACTACTGTAAGTACTGAAAGTGTAATAGACCAAAAAAATATCAAAACCTCACAAAAATGATCCTGACATTCACATACCGACACACTCTGATGGCTGCGTTGGGGGGGGCGCAGGGTTCAGTATTTTATGCAGACTAGAGGAGTCGGGATTAATCCAACACCGACCTGCACTGTGCAACATTCATCCCAAATCTGGTTTTTATTGTTTTGTTCATGTGTTTTAATACTGTTAAGATGGGTATTTTTTCATGCAAGTCTATGAAGATTGACTTGTTTTTGGAGCCAGCTGGAAATTACAATTTTTGGCTTCATTTTTCATCTCAGGAAGTTGCTCCTTTGTTGAGAATCTCTCATATGCATTCACTAAAATGTATCACAGGCACTTTCCACATAACTTTTATCAGTATTTTAAATAAAACTTTATGTGGTTTTAACAAACAGCTCTTTACATTTAGTCAACACTAAAGTAAATCGAATCCTTCCTCAAAACTATAGGTTTTCAGGGAAAACAACTCACTGGCGGTCAAATCTACAAAACAGGTTTTTAAAGTAAAGGAGGGGCTGAGATGAGGGAGTACAAAGAAGAATCGAGTAGTAGGAACAATGAAAGAGAAGGGAATCGAGAGAAGATGAGAGAAGAAAAGTGTAGGGTGGACAGGAGGGCGGTGTGAGTTCACCTCTCTGTTGACCTGGCTTCTTTGAAGTGATTACCGGCTGGCTGGGGACTTTCAGAGCAGCACAATGAACGTCACACGCAAAGCCACATACCTTGAGGCCTGTGTCACGATGTAGTGATGTCGCACGTCTAGACCTACACACCGGTGCAAACACATTACAGACACACAAGTATGTAGGCATGCAGGGGACTACTTGGGCATGCAGGTACGTACATACCAGGGCACGACACCAGTAATGACTACCTGCCCTGCCTTCAGAAACTGCGGTTAGAGTGTCTGCATTGTTGGGGTCAGATTAAAGGAGGATTGAAAAGAGGTCTCCTGGAATGACGGTGGGGCTTTAAAAAAGAAATCCTACGATTTTGATTGACAGAACTAGGTTTCGTGAGAGGAAACTTGAATGCTTGAATTTCTGTGGGAAACAAAGGCTATGAAGAGTGAAGTGACAGACGCAGACAGGTCTGGCTCCAGGTAGAAGGCGAGACAGGTATCCTGGCACCTAAACTGTAGTTATGTAATGTAAGTTGAAAGGGCCATCTCTGTTGAAACATTCTTCAGAAGGAAGAGAAGGGAATTAACGGCCCAAAACTGCTTTACGATGCGATGCTGGGACAGCACACGAAAGAAACACGATGGCAAGACCAAATATTCAATAACAAACCTGTTGTGTATATTCTGTTTTCATGAACACATGTCTGCTGATTTTTCTCTTTTTCAGGCTAGCCAAAACTTGCAACTTCCAAATTGGGTATATGATTGTGTGTGTGGTTGTTTGTGTGTGTATGTTTGGCCTCACTACACACAAAGGACTCGATTATGAAGTGCGAGTGCTACTTTGAACAAATGGTTGAGCGTGAGTGATTCGTGCCTTGGGACTGGGTAGGGGGCCAAGTTTCATTGTGCTCCGTTGTGATTATTTTTGTTTATTTTTACCCGACTCTGGGTTGTAATTGAGGTCTGCGTAAACTTTTGGTGGCTTTGATTGCTACACTGCCCTTTTTTTCCTATTCTGGGAAGCAGTTTCGCTCACTTCATTTTCTCTTTGCCCCTTCATCCTCTTCTCTCTATCTCGCTGTCTTTTTTCTACTCTGATGTCCCCACACTCCACATCAATAGATTTCATTAGCTTCTGGGGGATCTTGCACGGTCGGGCGCATGCAGCGGGAAGCCACACATTGATGTGGAACGTGGGGAAGTGGTATATGTATATATATATATGTATGTGTGTGTGTGTGTGAGAGTGGGGGTACCACGGCAGTCTTTTTTTCTAATCATCTTGTCGTTTCCTAATGATAGGTCTGGTACCACAGCTACTGGGTGTGGCGCCCGAGAAAGCCATAAAGCTCACAGTAAGTAACTGTGTTAGAGCCCGTGCAGACACATGCACTCAGATTCACTCAGGCAGAGATTCACGAGGGTCTTTAATCCCTTTAAATTATTGTATGAGTTTTAGATTGTTTTATGAAGCAAACAATTAGATAAATAGTTACAAACACAGCTACTTCCTTAACCTTCCTGTTTTTCTGCATTTGTAAACTGTCAGTCAGAGGAGCATTTACAGCATGCAGTGTAACATTTGTGGTACGCTAAGTGGCATACACCATCATTGAAGCATGTGTCAGTACATTTAGGTCCATAAGTATTTGGAGAGTGAGACACTTTCTGTACACGATCACGGTGGATTTCAAATCAAGCAAGATGTAAAAAGTACAGACATTCGGCTTTAATTCAAGGATTTTAACGAAATGTTGTTTAAACTGTTCAGGAATTGCAGTCATTTTTATACATACTCCTCATTTTCAGAAGTTGAAAAGTAACTGGAGAAGTTTCACTGTTTCAGATTTTATTTACAAATCAGTTGACTGACAAGGACTAGTTGAGGTCTGCTCCCTCAATATTTCATGACAAATTAAGTAGAGTTGATTAGGGATAGGTATCGTTTAGGTTCTATCCGATACCGGTGCCAAATCGGTACTTTTGAAACGGTGCCGGTGCTCAAACTGGTGCTTAAAGAATGGAGAACACAAAATTGGTCCACAAACCTCTCATGTTCAGCTGTTTTCTTTGTAAAAAGATAACAATGTTAGCCTTTTCTGCAGCTATGGGGCATATATGGTATCACTCTTGGCTGGAAGCAGTGCTTAAACAATGGAAAAAACACAAACTTTGTCCAAAAACCTCTCATGTTTAACTGTTTTCCACTTTTTCTTTGGTCATTTTAGCCTTTTTGGCCAGGGTGAAGGGAGTATCTGCCATCAAACAAGAAGACAGCCGCATGTAGCTATGATGATGTTTGCTAGTTCACCTTACATGCATTAATGTAATACCGGTACCCATCCCTAGAGTTGATTTCAAGTGTTGAACTTGTATTTGGTAGTAGTTCACTAAAACACCCAGTATGAGGTCCAAAGAGGGAGGGAGGCCATCATTATGTTAAAAAAGCTCATAGTCCAAAGCATAAGATATCGTCTATAAAACACGATGAAGGCAATGTTGTGGCATGGCCATTGGAGTCGGTCACTTGTGTTGACAGATGAAGTGACTGCTGATAGAAGCAGCAGGATGAATGGTGAAGTGTACAGGGCGGTACTCTCTGCTCAAGTTCAGCCAAACGCTGCAAAACTGATCAGTTAATCCAAAAAAATGGTTAATTTTTGGATTAACCCTATGAATTAAAGCTGAAAGTCAGGACTTTTATTACATGTTGACTGTTTGATTTATAAACCACTGTGGTCATGTATAGAGGCAACTTGACAAACTCATTGTCACCGTCTAAAAACATATGGCTACAACTGTGTCCGCTGATTATTGCTTATGTTCTAAACCATACATTTTGTGTCTCTAGGTGAATGATTTTGTGCGTGGAAAGACCAGACAGAAGGATGGTACAGTCCCGCTTGCCGCTGAGATTCTGGCTGGTGGATGTGTAAGTTTATAGACAGCTGTTACATTTGTTGTATTTCTATGTGAGAACGCCTTTGTTTGTTGGTTAAGTGAAGGTCAGATGCAACTGCTTGTACAGATTTTGGGTGTTTTATCAAGGAGCTGTTTGAGCTTTGGTAGCTCACCTGGGAATGTGCACACACCATGTGATACAGCCTTTGAACATATCAAAAACTATTAAAAGCTGCCATCTGATGCCTCAGCTGACCATTTTGCACATCCAATTAGCAATTTGCATATAGTTGCTTTAGTCTGCTTACAGCTGCTTTGCATCCCACATCGACCATAGCTCATTCTTTTATGATCTGACTAAATCGCTGCCACTGATGCCTGCTCTTTTCTGTACTGACTCTTTTTTTCGTTGCTGTTGCAGAAATAAAAACACACGAAAGAGCTTTTTACTCCCTTTTTACTGAAAAGACACAAAAGGCCGAGTCATTTTTAAGAAAATATTATGAGCATAATCAAATACAGTCAAATTACATATTTCGGTGTGCACCCTCTGCCTTTCCAGAGTGCACTGTGTTGGAGTGATGCTGCACAGCACTCAGGCAGTGTGTGCAGTATTGAGTCGGCATGCATGTCTTAACTATGCTGACAGTTGAGCAGACAGACATGGACTTGTTTTGGAGTCCAGGGGTTGCTATTTGTTGATGGAACCTGTACACTCGAAAGAGCAAACACACACACACTGTGCATGCTCAGAGAGGTGTGTGTGCATGAGGAGTACTACAAGCACACACACACACACACAAAGATTGACAGCTGCTGATACCTGAGTCCCCCCTTACTCAGTTTGTTACCTGCTCCCCCTCCAATCATGGGTTTTGATCACTGACCTGTCAAAGTCTAACCCCTGCCCCACCCTACTTACCCCCCAATGCATGTACACACACACACACACACACACACACACACACACACACACACACACACACACACACACACACACACACACACACACACTCTTTCTTACACACACACTCGGTCCTACAAGGCTGGCAGCTTTAGCCAGGCCAAATGAAAGAAGGTCTTTCATTGAACCCTCTTTTGATGTCGATCACTAAAGCAAAGTATTTCAGGATACACAAGTCATTATGGGTTTAGCTCCACTCAGGCACATTCAATTGACCTTATTAGTTCTGGGAATATGTTTAAGAAATGTTATGGCACACTACATTTGCTGTAACTTACATTCTGGATGGCGATTTTCTTTTGTGAGAGAGAGAAATGGAAAACATACAGCAAAGTAAATATACTTAGGACATGCTCTGTGGTGTCCTGGGTGTGAAGAATAGTGGTTGCCTTTAAAAAATAATAATAATAATAATAATAACTCGTATGAATTTAAAAGCAGAACCATAAAAGTCGCAGAGAGAGGGGAGGAGGATAAATGTAGAGGAGAGGAGTGTGGATGGATGGATTTTTCCTCTTTTCCTCCGTGAGCCGTCGTGACAGCTCCTTTCATCCTGGCTGAGGCCCCGGTGTTAGTGCTGGCACTGCACTCTGCCTGCCACTTTATCTACACACATGCACACTCACACACACAGACACTTACACACACATGTATGGCTATCTTTATGAGGACCAGTTGCCTTCCCTAGCCCCTTATGCTAACCTTAACAAATCAGTTCGTTACCCCAACTTTAACATAGCGCTGAACCTAATCTTAACCCTAAAAAACGAGTCCAAACCCTCAAACTTTTCTTTGAAGAGGGGTGAAAAAGTGTCCTCACTTTTCCGTTTTGCCCTCACACACACACACGCTCTCACACTCACACACAGACGTCAAACCTCCCTGAACCCTGTTTTAGCGAGGCTCCAGCCACAGCACATGAAATCTGTTTATATCATTTGGTAGCTGTGAAAGTGTTGGTTTGGACCACGATGTCGGCCTCAGATTCACAGTCTGTAAAGATGAAAAAAAGGAGAAGCGAGAAAGAAAAAGAGAAGATATGTTTGCTTTCTGCGAAGAAAACTTTTCATATGTCAGTATCTTTATCTTTATCTGCCCCAAAGTGTTGGTTTTTAGGTCCCTTTTCTTTCTCTTCTCACCTCTCACGCTCCTCCTCCTTCTCCTCCTCTTTTCTGTCCTTAAACCTGCGGCTCAGCACCATTAAGCTCCGGTGCGGGTTTGCCAGTTTCTAATGATTATTTGGTAAGAATGGCATGCTCCGTTTACCGAGCTGGGTGGATGCTTATCTGGCAGTAACTGGCCTGCGTTTCAGGACTTAAGTTACACGAAATACTTGCTGGGTCATTGCTGACCGGAGGAGCGGGGTTGTTTGTTCCCATTCATTGTGAATGTGTTACAGTTTGCGTTTGTGGTTTTTAATGAGTTTCTTATTCAGGCCTGACATGAGTTATGAAAACATTATCAGTGAATCTAACATGCGCACGCCACGGCAACAAATGAAGCTGTGATTATCATTTATAGACTGTGGTTACATTTTTTTCTTTTTTTTTCTTTTTGTGTTTTTGTGGGGGGGGTTTAGCTGGTGCTAATCTCCTGTGTAAGTGCGTGGTCGGCATACGTGTGTAGGGTTGATGGTGGGCGGGTCCTCAAACTTTTACTAAGCTCCTTTTCCAGCACACACACGGCCAAGGAGCTGCGATCCGTGCATAAGGTGCTGACGTCCCAGGTTTCCGAGGATCACCTTGCCTTGTAATTACCTGGGAATCATCAGAGGACTGCCGACGCTGTCACTCCATAATCACAACCCTCAACCTCTCTGCCTCAGTCTCGACCTTTCCTTCACTTCTCTTGTTTTGACTGCTCCTCTTCTCTCTCTCATTAGCACCTTTTGTTTATTTGTCTGACTCGCTATTTTCTGTGCATTTCACTCTTTTTTTCCTTCTCCGCATGCCCTCCAGAGTTATGCAGGACTCTGGGGTAGTTCAACAGCACCAAAAAAAACCCTCAACCACTCCTTTTTATCTCATGTTGTCAGATCTAATTGTCAGCTCATCTCTCTGAACAGTGTTGTTGTTTACCCATTTCAAATAAACAACATCTCTATCTCCTCCATCTCCAGTCTCATTTGAATCCAATTGAAGCAGCCAGCACTGCTAAGGGCCGGGGCCAATAGCCTCTTAATGCTTGCGCTATTAGCCAGCATGTAATCAACTAGGTTATTTCCATAAAACAAGTCATAAAGAGTTAGCTGTGAGATGCAGCAGCCCTCTTGCTATTCACAGCCCTCTCTCTCTCGCTCTCTTGGTCTGGAAGGGAAGCTGTAGCCCATTATTCTTTGTGTTGTTTAAAAAAAGCAGCTGCACACACACCTTCAATGAGACGATTATAATCTCTCTGTCTGTCCTCCCTCCCTCCCTCCTCTTAAGTAGTACGTGGTAATGCTTAAAGCTGGGGGACTCAAAGCAAAAAACGGTGCTCACGTTTGCAGATTGCAGCTTCCCGTAAGGCAAGAGGTGACGAGCACAATCCATCATTCATAACGATGCAAAACGAAGGAGGGGGAGAAAGGGAGAGAAACAACAACAAACAGACCAGGCCTATTTAAGACAGAAGTGGCGCCATGGCAACCGATTGCTATCTAATTGCGATGTGCCGCCCTTTTGCGTGTAGATTCGGTAACCACTGGCAACCGTTGGCAGAGGCGGACGATATTGGACAAGATGAGAGAGATCATTTTGAGAGCAGGTCAAAGAAAGAAACGGGGAGAATTGGTGAAAGGGGGTAAAAAGGAAAAGAAATAAAAATCTTGTCTCCATTTCCCAGTGTCTCGAAGCGTCCTGGAAAGGCCGCCATGCTCCCCCCACTGCACAGCTAACCATTTGTCTTGCCCCAACTCCTTCACAGCAGCTACCTCTTATACACTTAAAAGCACTGCTGACCACAAAAAGACACAGAAACCAGCCTGAACTTGCTGTGGTGGTGCCCCCCCCCGCCCACCATCACAAGTACAGGTTTGGAGGATGATGTGAAAAGAGAGGTTAGGGAGAAAAAGAGAGGTCGGAGTCCCCGCAGGGTCTGGGTGATGAAGACAAACAGCTGACAGACTCGCGTGCATCAGCTGGATATTCCTGGTACTCTCCTCCTCTCTCCATGTTTGTTTTGAAGTTGGTTGCTGAGGCTGCAACATTGCTAAAATTACATCATAAGCCAGATAATTGTAGCAGTTTTGTCTCATAATGATTTTTATTTCAGCACGTTATGTTGAAATGAAATCGCTTAAGTGGATCTGGCGCAACACTTGAATTCTCACGTTAAAGCACAGACAAAGCCGTCATTGAAATTGGGTTTAATTTGCAGCGATTAAAGTGAGGGTTTCCCTTTTTCTGAAGTTCGCTTTGTTTGTGTTTTTTATGTGTTCCTCCAGGCTGGAGGATCCCAGGTGATCTTCACAAACCCTCTGGAGATAGTAAAGATCCGTCTGCAGGTGGCAGGAGAGATCACCACGGGGCCGAGGGTCAGCGCTCTGTCGGTCATCAGGGACCTGGGCTTCTTTGGGCTTTACAAGGTGGGAAAGACTTCTGTGATGAGAGGTGAAGGTGTAGTTAGTATATATTTTGTTTGATGGTCCTCATATGGAGCTTTTTAAAAATATATATACTTAAGATTAGGGTCATTAATTCAGGTCCACACTAAGGTGTAAATGATCAAAATATTCTTACATGGGTCTTTGTCTATGAAAAGTTTCCATGAGATTTCTGGTGTAAATTCTTTACTGCAGTAAGCTCTTCAAAGCCCTCAAGTGAATGTTGCTGAGGACCCATTTAAGGTCACGGTGTAGTTTGTGTGGACTGGACACACTGGAGCTGCCTACAGTATGTGTGTACAGTGATCTGTTAGCTCGGGAGGAGAATCTGAAAGTCCCGGTTTTATGTCAGTCTGTCGCACTCAAACTTGCCGGTGTGTAGACTAGAGAAATGATCTGTAAGTTCATTATAACACAAGACACGAGATCATTCCCAAGACAGAGAAGGGATGATATTCAGCTTTTTGTTTTTTTAATTTAAAACTCGTACGTCTTCAGATGCAGTTGAAAGAGACAGAAACTCGGGCTGATTTGTTTTTCTTTGCTCCTAGATTGTCTTTTCTCTTTTGATTGGCCTTGCAACTTCACAACAATCTATTGTTCCTTAATAATGTTGTGACTAAATCATATGTGATTTTTCTATTAACTGTTGTTCAATTATACGCATTACCTTACCCCACATCAGCTATCATTTAATTTGACAATTCATTGTGGTCTGTTTGAGAACCACAAACGGCACAATTTATGCTAAAAGCTGTATTTAACCTTAATTGCCATAATTGGTATTTTTCAGTGGCGCAAGGCTAAAAATTATAGTGTACTATTTGAGCATATAACTTGTTGCTAATTTAGCAATCTTTGTTGTATTACAAAGAGTATGTCCTGTTTTTTCAATAATTACTATTCCTGTAAATATTTGGACTTCTAACCCTGGTCTGTTTGAAGCAGTGAGATGTTAGCAGAAAGAGCTGGGGGGAGCCAGTGAATGAGCTGTGGCTAACGCTAACATTAGCAGCTTAACTGGCTTGACAGGGACATTAGTCCCGGGGGTGAAACAGAGCATGTCTAATTGAGTTACATAAATAAGTCCTAATGGAGCTTGGTGGGAGAGATTCTACCTCAACTGTAAACGCAATCAACTGTGAAAATGTCAATCTAATACCTGTGGTTACATTAATTAGTCATGTTTTACTTAAATAAGATGACACTTTTTTTTGTTTTGGTGTGTGGCAGCATGTCTGTCCTTAAATTCCAGGTAGTAAACTATTTTTCAGATATGTCTGCTGATTATTTATTGCACTAGACTATTACTTTAATATTCCTTTTATTTATTTAGTGATTGGTCCATGCGTCTGCTGCTGTGGCAACTTGCAAACAAACCTTTGGGTTCTGTTAACGAGGCTGTAAAAGACCATGGAGCCTCCTCACGTCTCTGTCTACCTGTCACCGTGTTTGGGTGGTAATTTATGACCGTGAGGTGTGTGTCCACACATAGCTGCTGTCTCCATTCACCTGTTTGTGAAAATGCCGCCAAACGCTGTGTTAGCAGTGCCAGTGCATGTATGTGTTCATGCTCGTGCACATACTTAATTGCATTCGTCTCCCGGTGCACAGAGAGGAGACAAAGTGCATTGAGAAAGCAGTAGCAGTGTTGGCGGCGATGGTGGTGGTGGAGGAGAGGTGGGGAGGAGACGCGCTCCAGCCTGCAAGCCCCAGACGGGCTGGCTCCGGAGGGGCTGCACCCAGGCACAGAGCTGCCTTTGTCAGGGTAATTATCCTGATGCTCACCCTCAGCTGGTGGAGCTACCAGTTGGTATGGTTACTAACGCTCTAGCGCCACCATTCATCCGTGGGAGAAGCTGTCACTGTAGGGATATCGAACCAGATAATGTTTCATGTATGTGAAGTTACTGTATATCACGTTACCTGCAAGTAACGTAAGAGCTTTGGATTTCGTGTTAGAATCTGACCGATATCAGATTTTTAGGACTGATATTTGGAGATTTCAAAATCCTGTTTCCCTGAAATTTGTTAGGTGTAGTCAGCACTAAAATATTATGACACTTGAATTTAAAAATAAAGTTCCTTTATGGTTACAACAAGTTTGTGTGCGCATGTGTGTTGTCAACAGGAAAGTTGTAGAGTGCCCCCTGATGGAGAAACTATGCAGCATCGTTAAATTGTTGGATGGTGTTATTTCCTCGTCTTTTTTAAAAAAAAAATTCTATTTATCACTTGTTGTAAATACCTTTATCGATAATACTGATGATATCAACCGATAATCTGTTGATCCATATACTGGTCGGGCTCTATTTTTGTATTAAAATAATCATTTAATTTTCACCTCTGTATTAAAGGACTACTGTAAAGCGGCTCATTGTCTCTGGTCCACCAGTGCATTACCCAACTGAACACCTTAAACCTGCTTTTCAAACTTCTCATCCCCAGTCCCTGTGACGCTGCTTGTCTGTCCTGCCTCGATAGGATCTCGAGGCTTTCAGCAGCCACATGGGCCTCGGCCAGGAGGGACAGGCAAACAAGCAGTGCCAGAGGAGAAAAAGAGGGAAAGAGATAGCCCAGGTATCTGCCAATCCTCTGTATGTATGTGTGTATGTGTCAGGGAGGAACCAAAGGATTATCCCATGGGAGTTAAATGAAGCCTGTCCAAAACAGGGAGACTCTGGCGAGGTCTTTAAACGCCTTCTGTTGACTGTAGCTGCTGTGTCAAAAAGCTGGCAGTGAGCCAGCAGGTTTAAAGTACAGCAGGAAACTCTATAGGCTTGATGATATAGTGCTGTTTACAGTCGCAGACAAGGATCCATCTTCCCCAGCCAGTCTGCCTTCCTCTGCTTTGGTTTTTTTTTTCTTTTTCATAGCTTTGCGTTTGGAGCCGCCCCCTCACCTGCCGCTGAGAGCACTGATCGTTTGCATATGGAGAGACATGATTTTTCTGCCATGTTTTCGGCCCACATTTCATTCTGCCTCATGAGTTGCAGGGGTCTTTTGGAAGTAGCTTAAACGGTGGTAACATCAGTTGATGCTTGGATATGTGATTCAGGAACAGATTGTTTAATTTTGTGGCTTGAAATTGCAATTTATTTTCAGAGAACTCAGCCAGAAATCAAGGTTTAAATCCCCTGAGCTTCATTAATCTTTCTTTGCTCCCCTTTGTGTTTATTCTTGTCTTTGTTTTCTCCTTCTGGGAGCTCAACTTTTAACCCGGTGTTTTGACCCAAAGTATCTCGCTAACTTTCTTTTTAGGGTTCCAAGGCTTGTTTTCTGCGGGACATCCCCTTCTCGGCTATCTACTTCCCTTGCTACGCCCACACCAAGGCTTACCTCACTGAGGAGGATGGAAGAATAGGGCCAGCCAGGATGCTGTTTGCCGGAGCTCTGGCAGGTAAAGTACGTCCATCCCCTGGAGCCTTTACACTTCAAAATAAAAGGAAGGACAAACTAGTATAAAATTTAGAGGTAAAAAGTAGTTTGTATATAAGATCAGAGGCTAGAGTGCTTGAATTAAAATAGAAAGCATTGATTTTATATGTGCTTTTGCTGTATGTGCATTTTAATATATTTTAATCACTGTCTACCACTGTCAAATGAAGAGTGTCTAATGTCTGACCCCTGCACATGTGGTGTACCTCCAAACAGATCTGCATCTATATGTATATGTATTGCATAGTAAGCACTTACTGGCACACATTTTATGCATGCACACATGTAAAAATGGTCAAGATGACCTGCTGAAGTTCAGATTGAGCATTAGTGTTTCAGAAACTGTTGATCTGCAGGGATTTTCTCACACAGCCCTCTCTTTTACAGAGAATGGTCTGAAAAAGAGTAAATATCCAGTGAGCGTCAGTTTTCTGGGTGAAAATATCTTGTTGATGTCAGAGGTCAAAGGAGGAGGGACAGACAGTTTTCAGCTGATAGGAATGTGACGACAACTCAAAGTATGCAGATAAATAACCACACTGTGTGCCACTCCTATCAGAGGACAATATACAATGTGATTACATATTACACACATACACACGTGTATGCTATATGATTCAAAAAAGGTTGCCTGGTTTGATGAGCTTTGATTTCTGTTATGACATTCAGACTGTAGGGTCAGAATTTGGCATAAGCAGCATGAAAGCATGGATCTATGCAGCTTTCTAACAGTCCGTGCTGCTGGTGTTGATTTAATAGTGTGGGGAATATTTTTGGCACATCTTAGTCGCCTTAGTGGCAGTTCAGCGTTGTTTAAACACCACAGCCTACCTGAGCGATCCTATCACTTTACAACTACAGTGTACATACATATTCTCAGGCTGCTTCCAGCAGGATAACACACCATGTCACAAAGCTCAGATCATCTCAAACTGGTTTATTGAACATTGCAGTGAGTTCACTGTACTCAAATGACCTCCACAGCCACCAGATCTCGAGCCACCAGGGCACCTTTGGGATGTGGTGAAACTATTTCCAGCACCTTGTTGACTCTAAGCCGTAGAGTCATCTACTTAACGTAAGGTCAGTGGTTTGACCCCTGGGTCCTCCAGGAGGTGAAAGTACACTCAGGCAGATTACTGTGCGTGTTGAGGTATCCACGGGCAAGATGGCAGCCATCATTGTGTGCATCAGAGTGTGAGGGTGTGCAGCTAAAGTGCTGTGTGTGTGGGAATCTAGAAAATGGCTATGTAAGTGTACCTAATAAATTGGCTGGTGAGTGTATATATTTATATTGTATAAATATGTACTGCAGTTTCTGTAAAGTTGTAAAACAGCACTGTTGGATCGCCCCTTGTTACACCACCATTATAACCGGCCATGTTACAGTACAGCATACATTTTTATTACCTGCCATTACCCATTACTGTTTGGATCTCAGATGGTATGTTTTATGCAAGTTCTCTGCAGGTCATTTGTTTAGTCTACACAGTCCCATGTTGCATTTTAATAGCTTAGCCTTTTAGTGTTTGCCCCTGGCTTGAAAACCAGTGCTTTGGCTTATAAAGTGACTGACCATTCCAAGCGAGCCCGAAAGGCTAAAAGCTTTGCCCCCGATGCGACGTGCACAGCCCTGACATTTATGAAATAAAATCTTTGGCCGTTTCGAACAAAGTGCGAGAGCAGGTTTCGCTCTGCTCTTGCTTCAGACGTCCGCGAGCCCGCAGTAACAGTAGCAGAGCTCGGAGTTTGGGAGCCAGGCAGCCTTTGACCGCAGGCTCCATGGCGGTAGCTGCTAATTAGAGCTCAGTGATTGGGGACTGGGGTTTCTGGAGCTGTGCTGTAGGGAAGCGCCTCGGTTGCCAGCCAACCGGGCCGGGATGAAGGCTTTCCAGTCGTCATATACTGTACACGCATGCACATGCACAAAGATGGTCGCGCGTACTGCTCTGTTAAAGAAGCAGGGTGAACAGTCCCGTCCTGCCTGTAGGAGAACTGGAACAGCAAAACAATCAGCTATGATTTAAGAGCTTTATCCATTGCATAAAAAGATGATTTAACCAAAGAAAGGCTTAAATATTTGATTTATCCTTAATAACAGCTCTGCCAAGTTCAAAAGCTTTACAGCATTGGCATGAACGGCTGACTATTTATTTTGAATCCTCAGATGTGTCAGCAGCACTCTCTTTTTGATGCAAGGCAACATGGAAAAAAATCATAAATCCTGCCTCGCTTCCAACTTTTACTTTCTCACCGCAAGACTGGCAGCCACGGCTCACAGACTGAAACGAGCCTCATGACTTCTTTATTTTTTTCATTGCTTTGACGCATTTATCATCCTTCTTTCACATATATTTATCAGCGGTTGCAGCATTCTGGCAATTAGTGTTTTACAGTCAGCACAGGAAATTGAATTACACGCTCAGTTTGTACAGCATTATTTAGCTAGGCATTACTCTGGTCTGTGAAGAATGTAGCGTGGACATCTCCAGCTCGCGTTAGCTCCGAATGGGATAAATATTGGAGGGAGGGGATTTTTGGCCGAGCTATGGGGGTGTAAGAAATATCCACTCGCTTGTTTTGTCACTGTGAAATATGGCGGGAATATTAATTGTTTCCCGGCAGAAAATTGAATGTTTTACTTGAACCTTGCTTTGGACACCAGGTCGGCAACCGCTCACAGTCAGCGCTGTCTCAAAAGCCACTTTGGTGCATCAACATCGATAAGACAGCCTGCTCTCAGTTTGCACTTGATTGGAGTCAAGTTGGCAGGTTGTCTCTCTGTGATAATACGGCAATTAACTGTGACAAATGTAGCAAAATTAGCAAATCTGTTGCTGTCTGCTTACATATAAAGGCACACCGACTAATTACATTCAGACTCCACCCAGAACCTCAGAGAATTAAAACAGAAATTTACAAATTTGTTTGCAACCAGTTGGCTTGAGCCCCCTACTGCAAAGAGACACAGTGCAGATGATTTGCACTTATCAACCCAGACTGACTCAGATTGATTGCAGCGTGTTGTTGGCAATCTGGCAGCAGTTATTTGCAAACATTTGCCCATCTACCTGAGAGTGACTGCAGTCAGTCTGAGTCAGGCTGCGATGGTTTGGAGACAGGTTGCCTCCCACCTGTCTTCTCTTGCAGTCAGCTGGTTGCTACAACTAATTTCTTTTTCTAACCAAGGTTTATTTTTACTCTAGTCTGACTGAGCCATTAAGACTAAGTAAAAAAGGTGAAGATCATTTCAAATATTTGGAAAATACGCAGATTCTTCCAGAGGAAGGAAGTGAAGAGAAAGTGTGAGGCGTCATTGTCTCAAAACAAAGACAGAGAAAACAGTCAGGCACACAGTATGCGACTAAGGCCTAAAGTTGCTTTTAGTTGGTGAAAATTATTCATGTTTTTATGTCAGGAGATTCTTTTAGCTCCCACAGTTGTTAGATATGTTAGCAAGTTACTGTAGATAGCTAAAGCACTTGCAAATATAATGATTTTTCTCGTGACTTTTAAAGCTTGGAAACATTCCCGTTTTACATAAGTGGCACACAGCCACAGGTCTTGAGGTTAGAGAAGTCCACTGCAGTTTTCTTGTTTTCCTGCTTCACGTCCTTTATCCTGTTGCTCATGTGTGCAGCTACGCAAAAACACTTCTTTGCGTTTGTTGTTGTTTTGCAGCCCATGAGCTCTGTCTGTCTCTAATGCTTGCAGATTTCTTTTTTAAGTGAGATGGCACAGAAGGGACCAAGAACCAGATCACAGCTAGTGGGATATTTGGTTTGGGAGCAGGGTGTTCTTCTAATTCCAGAAGTAATGCTTTAGCAGACACGGCTGCAAAGTAAAGCACAAGATTCAGCTGCTCTCAAAATCCAGTCTAGTTATGACTGTAAAAGTGAAGAGCAGTGTCTCACTGATCCTTTCGGGGTCAGGTTTCAGGATTTAGTGAATGTGAATATAAAACCAGTCATGTTTTTCAAAGCTTAAACAGTTAAACTTTGCAGACTTTATATTATATAACATTATAAAGTTGATTTGCAATGATTTTTTTGTTTGTTTTTGTTTTCTTTCCATAAAACATGGCAGTATGGTTTCTTGAACATCCCTAGTAGCAGGTAATAAAATTTCAGGGAGGGCTGGGGCCCCCTGTAGCTACACCTCTGCTGTTTCTATGCAATTTTCATGTCGATCCCATACTGTGTGGGGGATTTGGTTTGATTACATTTTGTAGAGATAAAGATGCTGTCATCATGGTTTATCTTTTTTTAAATTTTGGATAAAGTTCTGTTTCCGCATCTGTATATCAAGACTCTTTTTATTCTGTCAAATGATTTTAAAAGTTTAAAGTTTACCTTTATCTGAATTAAAGGTCTCAGGATAGTCAGTTTTATGTGTGTGTAGATATGTATATACACATATGTATTCAGACGTCTTGCCTGCTCCCCTCCTCTCCTCTCTGCTCCTCTCCTCAGTTCAGTGCAGGTGGTCAGTCTCCACTGGGTGCCAGTCGGCTACCTAATGCCGAGTTGATCAGGCTTGCTGAATAGCTCGTTTTGCCGTTACAAAAACCAAGAAGTCAGAGTAAATCGTCAAGAGGGCAGTTGATGGTAATGACCAAGCCATCAATGATTGGGCCCATTCATGAGTGAAGTGACTGGAGTGGGGGCCTTGCAGTCACTCCCTTCAGTCAGCCAGTCACTTTGAGCGGCACACGGGGCACAGTGTGCATTTCTCTCATTACCGTCCATTGTCTGGCCTCTTTCAAACGGCTGTAGGAAAAGTGGGAGAGAGAGGAAAGGAAGAAAAAAGGTAGAGATTAAATAATGGCCTGGATTGGTTGATGGTGAAGTGATAGGAGCTGGCCCCTACTTGTGTATAGTGTATGTATGCTGCAGACATACTGCAAGATGGTAAAGATCCAAGATGACGTGTTTCAGAAAGGGGAACAAAGACTGCTAAAAATCCACTCGATGAGATGCGGTTTCAAAGATATGCAAGATTTCAATAAATCGCTGATGGCTGCTTTCTGCACATCATCTCATTTGTTTGGGCCTGATTTTGGATTTTGTGCGCTCTGTTTAGAATCAAACACGTTCCGACCTTTTAGAAAGCTCTCGAGTTCTTTCTGCAGGCATGCCGGCCGCCTCTCTGGTGACCCCGGCAGACGTGATCAAGACACGGTTACAGGTGGCAGCGCGTGCTGGCCAGACCACCTACAGCGGCCTGATGGACTGCTTCTGGAAGATTCTCAGAGAAGAGGGGCCCCGCGCTTTCTGGAAAGGAGCTGGAGGTACGCTCATGGAGTCAAACACAATTACAACACAATTCTTGTAATAGATTTACATTGATTTGATCATAAGACATAAAGCATAAACAGACACTTTCACTCTCCTTGCGTCTCAGAGATGATTTTGGCCAAACCAACTGACCAATCTGGTTCTGCGTTTGTGTAAATTGCGTCTTTACTAATTAAAATAAACACATTTCTCCACTGCAGCTCGAGTGTTTCGTTCTTCGCCTCAGTTTGGGGTGACACTGGTGACCTATGAACTCCTGCAGCGCTGGTTTTATATCGACTTTGGAGGACCGTAAGTATCTTCAACCGCACAGAAACAATAACAAGCCTTTTTCTTCCTGAATGCAAGCACACAGTGATGTCACACAGTCCCTCTGACAGTTTCCTCAAATACACAAGTTTTGTTAGCACCCATTTGACCTCAGCGTGTCGTTTCCCCACTCCTGGGACTCAAAGAGCCTCATCCTCCTCTCATGAAGGTCACTGTCAAGAATAATTCACTCCTTCACTCTAAACCCCGTTGGGGAACTTGGGTTGCCTCCTTTTAATGGACAGCAGACACCGCGATGCACATGCACGCATCGGTCGGACGGCTCATTCGTTTTCCATGTAGCGCCCTCTCTCCCCGCTCGCTCACAGCGACACAAAATCAGCTGCAGATCCAGTGAAAACTCGCTGCGGTTTGGACCCGAGCAGATCCTTTTCTTGCGCTCTGTGTTGGCAGCGATTCACAGAGCGCGGCGTGAAATCTTTGAGGGATTTGATTTAGTTCTGCTCTCAGGGAGAACCGTTGAGCCGTTCCGCTTTTGATTTTCTATTAAGATTGTTTATTTCTGTGGCGAACAGCGTTTCGAATGATAATATTAATTTAAGATTTAATAATGATGATAATAAAACCCCTGTGCGTTAACAGTTTGCAGTGTTTATGTTGTTGAACAGTTCCCTCCGTTCTCCTCGTCTCTACCTCTTTTTTTGCTCCTCTCTCTCTCATCATGTCCCTCACTTTCTCCTCCATCTCTCTCTCTCCACACACCACAGAAAGCCGGCTGGCTCCGAGCCCACCCCCAAGTCTCGGATCAGCCTGCCGGCGCCCAACCCCAACCACATCGGAGGCTTCAGGTTGGCCGTGGCCACATTCGCTGGCATCGAGAGCAAGTTTGGACTCCATCTCCCACGCTACACGGTGCCGACGGCAGCGGCCCCTTCCAACGTGAGCACCCCCTGAACCTCCACGGGTGTGTGTTTGAGGGGGGGAGCTGAAGTGTTTTTCATACGTAAAGCACCGAGAAACTATCAGGTCCATTTAGTTTTCACAGTATTTGAAGTTATTTTGTTCTAATTATTGTATAAAAGCATCTATATGCGATCTCACCGATTAGCAAAGTGTGTAATTGCTACAGGGCTCACGCAGTGTTTGTTTCACAGTGTTGTGTTATACTAGTTAGGTTTACACTCCAAACTCGTACACAGTATGCACACAGCAGCAGAAGGGCTTGCACAAATACACTTGAACACTTTCTTTAAATATCGGTGGCTACTTACTGTTGCAGCTTTTTCCAGTGTCTTCCTTTTGTGTTGCTTTATAACCAAAAGCACATTAATCACATGATCATAAAACCAGCTACACACAAAAAAATACAGTAAATGTGGCACTTCTGTATATATTAGAAATCCAGACATATTTTCATATGTGTGCGTCTGTTTTGATTGAGTTGCTCTTTTCAACTGTGTGTCGATTTATGGTCGAATGAATCCAGAAGAATACGACCAGAGAAAGAAGTTTTGAATGTAAAAGGCGCGGCGTTAACGTTGTGACCGTACATAATGTTCACCGCTGTCAAGATGTTTGGGTTCAGGTCTAAATGTATGCAGATGTGGAAATATATGAAGGAGTGCGTGTGCCATGGCTCTGTATTTAAACTTGTACGGTGCAGAGACTGTAGGAGCTACATGTGGTGTGTAATAATTGTGCCTTACTGAACGTATGGCAGCAACATGTGTGGTCGGAGTAAAGAGACACTTGTATTAGTAAGTATGGTGGAGGTTTTATTTGCAGTACTACTTCCTGGTTGGAGGTGGAAATGAAAGCAACACAGCGGCTCCTGGGCTCTGCTTTAATAGTCAACATTAGCAGGCTGAACAGCAATCACTCTGAATTACAATATACCTCTTATTAATCGTCACAGTTCATTAAATAATATACAGTTGAAGCTGTCACTGAGTACAGAGGACCACTCGATTCAGCTTCTGACGCATCGACTCGAACACTGACATAAAGCAGCTCCATGTGTGATAACCTCGCTCCATGTTAACCCCACATTTCTGCATCTGGAATATTTTGGGAATGCGTTGCATGCAGGCTTACTACAGACAAAAAGAAGCACAACATAAAGTGAACATGGAAACGAAACATGACTAGTCTATGAAACCTGCTCCATTATTATTATTTTTTTTACAGTAGTGCGAAGCATTGTTACAGTACACACACCTCCATAAGGCTAACAGACTGCTGCTCTTTATATACTGGAGGCTCACGAGTTGCAAGCGACGCATCACCTGAAGTCGTTGGACGAATAAATAACAACAAATCGGTACAATTTGATTTTAGAAATGCAAAAGTACAATAAAAAACAAACAAGAGAGGAACATAAACGTGGAGAAACAAAACCCAAAGTGAGTGAGAAGCACATGCTACATTGACACCAGCAGAAGCACACCAGGTCTCTGGATCCGCCCACTTTGGTTTTGGAGTCTTTCTTTTCTATGAAGCCAGCTCCATAGGCCCCTCCTCCTCGCCGTCAGCACGGTTAGCACGAATCTCCATCAGCGTACGGGCAAAGCGCGCCCAGTCGTCCGTGTGGGCCACCGAAAGCTGTAAAAACCACACAGGTACACGGTGTGAGGGAAATCGCGTACATCACTATACGGGTACCACAGCATGACTTAATAACGGAAGGAAATGAGCAATAAATCTGTCTGTGCTGACATCAGATCCTGGTACTGATGCTGGAACAGCGGCCGTGCCAACATAGAGGACTCCCACAGAGAATCCACGCTTCTCCCGGTTCCAGATTTTTCCACAAGGAAAAACGATGTCATAAAATCCCATAAATTCCTGGCAGATTACTTTTAGCATGAACAAGCAACATGAGATAAAGCAGTTGTTCTCCGTGATCATTTTCCAGAGTTTAACCGCGTGTCTGTAAGTATGGTAAACAGATGTTCGGTGTTTCGGTGTCTGAGAAGCTTTCATATTCTCTTCAGTTGTTTTAACACTGGACAGGTGACATCTGCTCATCGGTTGTGATGGAGCCAGAGATGACCACAGATCGACCTTTAACCAGCTCGGCAACCACTTGCTGTCAGGTGCCATCTGCAAAAAATTTACAAAGCTATTGCTCTGCAAATACACAGCAGTTCACATTAACTTCTCACATTCAGCCTGCACCCACAACCCCACAGATCTGAAACCAATTCCTCCACAAACATTGACGTAGTTGATGCAGGGCTTAATTTAACTACAACGTGACACACGAGCTCAGCAACCTTGCTTTTATATAGGAATAGAACCACAATACAACCAGCTGGCAACCAGTTGAGTCGAGTCCCCTACTGCAAAGAGAGGAGTTGCAGTCATCAGTGCAAGCTTATATAAACGTGTTGGTGATCTAAAATAAGACAATTATTATTACAAGCCTGTCACTTGCTCAGAGTCACTGCAGTCAGTCTGAGACGACCTGTGTGGTTATTTGCAGAAAGGCTCCCTCACACCAGGCAACCTGTACAACTGCTTAATGATCCAAAGTAGTTCCCAGAAAATCAATGCGATCACTAATTCTTCCTAGTAGCAAAGAAATTCACATCCGAGCTCTAAAGGCAAAGTCATCAATGAAATCACATGGATTCAATATTCGGGGCCATAAATGTTTTCCATAATTTCATTGATAGTTCATTTAATTGCTGCTGAGACATCAAATTGGTCAATCAGATACTGTCACTGGAAGCACGGCCTATGATGCTGATCTATGATAGCAACGCTTCTGTACTCACAGCCAAAGCCGTGACATCACCACATCAGCATCATACTGACCAAAAAGGTAAAAATAATCATTGCAAACAGAGTATTCAGAGCAGTCTGAAGCCTGTGTTTGTATAAGCATTCAGAACAGAACTATGAGCGTCACAGGTTCACTTTGGTGTTTGATAAGAGAACATGAGGCCAGTATGAGATGTCAAACTGTGTTTTATTCCTCATAAAGTGTCTTGCTAGAGTTGTGCACAGCAGGAGTCAGAGTGAGTGGGACTGAAGTCGCCACCCAAGATGCCTGCAACCGCTTTGCCTGCCCAGGCTGTAATTAATCGGGAACCAGGAAGAGGGAGACAGCCATTTTGAACCACCCCCCAAGGGGCTGGGCTGGCCACAGCGGGGGGCTCTGGCAGATCGTTGTGTACTTGGTGCCTGAGTGACTTCAGCGTTAGCAGCAAGACAAGAGGCTCAGAAACACGGCTGGCTGGGCTGAAGTCAGGTTTTTAAACAGCCGCAGCTTCAAAATGCTTCATGCTGAGGAACATGATCTGGAAAAACAGAGCAATACCAGTAAGGTCCTAATAAAAACTGCTCTAATCTCTGATGACACAGTTTTTTCTCATTTGTACTCAGTAAAATAAAACAGAAATAACAGTATTTGGTATTTTACTGCACTGGAAAACTCTAAAGGGCTGCTCTAAGTCCCAGGACCACAGCTCTCTGGATGAAACTGCTGGCCATCTCTTTTTTTCACATGCTGTTCCCAGTTATAGCTGTATGGGGGAGTTTGTAGTGACTTTAATACCCACAATACACACACACACACAAACACACACACACACACACACACATACACACACACACACAAACTCTTAGCTTGTTGGAGTCATAAAACCTTTCAGCCCCGCTCGCTCTTATTGATGACTCTCATGGTTACCATGAACTCAGCATGGAGTCCACCAGCTCAGCCCCTCTCCAGTTTACCACACAACAAAAAAAAAGATGCTAAAATTAGCCGAGCGGCTAGGCTAGGCTGCACTCACTTGGGATCCTAACCAGAGCTCTCTAAACATGAGAGAACATACGGGCTGGCCGCTTTGTGGTGACAGCAGTGTCACGTGGAGGCCGTTTCACATGAAAGAGATGGGGCACAAAAATATCAAACATTTCCACTGCAGGAACCTTTTTGAGGGGGTTTAACAAAGCAGGGAGAAAGATCTAAATAAAGGTCTAGGGAAATTACTTAACCCCTCACCCCCCTGCTTATGGTTGCTTACGGGTTGCTGCTTTCTTTGTGGGTGGAGCTTGCAGGACCACACATCGCCAAGCAGGATTTTAACCATCTAAACTGTTTGTTTTTAAAATTATGGGTAGATTTACTAACACTGGCCTCTGCCTCCTTAAAAACATAAACTAAATGAGGGATGGTTAAAGGCGTGTTTGTGCACTGGTCCTACAGGGATCCAATGTTGTTGCTGTGTACATTCACAAGGGGGCAGTGTCCAGAATACGCAGAGTAACCAGTACTGTTGACTGCTCTGGTCGTTTAGCTTCGCTAAGCTTAGCTTCAAATGCAAACTTGTTGTGTGACAAATAACACACTGAACACACTTTTGTGTTCAGAATGTCCCTGTCAAAAAATGCAGATCTGTTTATTTGCATACATAAAATTTGAAAAACCAAGAAATTCCAGCCGTTGGGAACGACCGTAATAAGAATAGGTGTGTTTTACACATCAAGTGTGTAAAACAATGAAAACTGTCCACTGTGTTTCTCTTTCTTCTCTCTGTACTCTCATATTGTTCTCATCCAGTTCAAGGAAATGTGTTAATTGGTTGCTAATTATTCACTAATCTGACACAAATGTGGAACCATGAATTCCACTTCAGTGACTCAATTTGTAGAAACACAGAACAAAAGATGGGCGGAGCTACTGTGATGTCACCCATTGGTAACGCCTTGCTGAAATGAGTGGCTACACATGACTCAGGTGTTCACTGAGGTCAAGTCCAGTACTCAAATTTCCAGAGAACAGGCAAAGAAAGGATTTTTGATTCAATGTCATTAGCTCAGTATTTCCAATGTATATAGTTTTAATGGCACATTTAATGCCGTCTTGTGTTCTAAACACTGATCTGATGTAAACGTCAGTTTTATCTCCAAAATCAACTTTTTGGTTTGAAGGTCGCAGAGACATCCGGAGAGTGTGAATGTTTCTTTTCACTCAGATGAACCTAGTGGGGGCTTTATACACTGAAGAACGAGACCTAAATAGATGAATTATTTGTATGTGCAGGTTTTACTGAAAAAAAACAACCTTATTTCTACTGTTACACAATAATGTCAGTGGCTCAAACACACATGAATCACAGCATAAGCAAGTATATATTTATAAAATGATGATTAAAGTTTTTTCACCACATGATGGGTTTTTGTTTAGAATTAAAGTGAAAAAGAGGTGTTTGTGATGAGCTTTAACTATTATCTATTGAAAAAGATCAGTAAGTTAAATTTCAGGCACTAAAAAAAAATCGCTCTATGTGGCAATAAACTTTGGTCATTGCAGTTCACTCAAGCTTTTGGCACCTAGGCGGTAATTAAATCTTGACTGTTTGAAAACTAAACCCACGAGAACTCCTGGCTCCGTGCACCACGGCACTCAAAGTGAATTAAAAAAATGAACTCAGCAGACTTTTTGTAAAAGCCCAGAGAGCACACTGCCAAAATTTTAACATCATATGAGAAACAACCGAGTGTAATATTTCTGGAAATGCTACGATTATTACTCTGTAATCATTATCCTGCACTTTTTTTAGGTTGCCACAAATATTCTATAAATGTCTTAATTAAGTAACGTGTAAGCACATGTCAGCTATACAGTTAATTCGAGTA